TTTTACAGTATGTCTTTATAAGAAAAATGCATCATAATCATGTGGTCTAAATGGAAATGATGCTTTTTTTTGAACAACATTTCCTGAAGTGGCAATCCTGACTGTCCCTTGCCCAGTGACTCCATGAACTGAGGCGGGTTGGGACACCGGCTAGGGGAGAAGGTCAGCTGCAGGCGGGTGTGAAGGCTGACAGAAGGACGGGGACTCATCTCCAGGTTAGGGTTAAGCCGAATCCTGACCCTGGCACTTGTCTCTGTGCAGTGGCTTTATTCTTTGCATCCCTTGGTTTCCTATCAGTACAGCACTGATCACAGTGATTCACTGTGGGATGGCTTTAGGATTAGGAGAGAGAATTCAGGGAGGCACTTGATGACAGTTGGTAGGTATACACCAACTTTGCTCTAGCAGGGTCTCAGCACAGATCTTCATCTTACCCAATTCTCACTTTCTTTCTTCCAGATGAGACAACATGTGGCAGAATCTAGACAGACCCCACTGGCGAGAGGAACTCAGCTAGAAATCTACTGTGGGCTCACTTATTTCTACAAGTTGTGGCCAGTGAGTCCTGCTATTGTCCTAATGACAGTAAAACTATGCATAATCATATCATTTTCTTAAAAACAGAGGAAAGAGGCTATGGTTTGCTTTTCAATCCAGTGCACCTAAAGCCGAATCCTTGGCTGTGCTTCTTCCTGGTTTTAGATCTTGGGCAAGTTTCTGAGTTTCCTGAACACCAGTTTCCTCGTCAGTTTCACTGTATATGGTGATGCTGCCTCCACAAACCGGAGGCTCCCTGAGATGAAATGCACAAAGCCTCACTGATCGTGTCTGACATTGTGGATAGTTATTAGCCAATTAAATCTGTTTCCTTTATAATTCTCGGCTGAATAATGAGAGAAAATAGCAGGGGACTGGTCCCAGATTACAGTAAAATGGATGTTTATATAGGAAGAGACAGAGAAAACATTAGTTTGCATGAACATTACTAAAATATTTATGTGCCAGGAAAGTCAATTCTAAAACTTTTTCTAATGGGGCAAATCAAAGAATCATTTACCCCTTTCTTTTCATTGAGAACTTTGGCTCCAGTAGGAGCATTTTAGTCTATGCTTCAGGATTTTTTGTGTGATGGTGTTAGATGCCTGAAAATGATGACAGAAAAGCTTGTTACTAATTTTCATTTCCTACAATAGCCCAAATGTACAGCTATGAACACAATTTTGTTACTGCAATTGTAAGAGCTATTAACTGTATCGCTGCAACAAATCTTGTCCAATGGAGATGTGATCCCGTTATTCTCTGATTTTTGTCCTTGCAGGGCAGTGCTGGGGATTGAACTTGGGGCCTAGGGCATGCAGGCAAGCACTGTGTTGCTGAGCTCCACCCTGTTCCTGAGTTTAACTTGTTCTTTGTCATATTAAAGTCTGCTAGTAGAAATTGGAACTCTGAAGCATGGCGGTTTGTACTGGGACCCCCTCTTCCACTTACCTGGGCTTTGCCCCTCTCTTCTCACTTCTCACCAATTTTTTGCTGTCTTAAAAATATTCAACTGGTTGCTTGATGATTTGTCTCACCAGCGTGCCTTTGTACACACAGTTCCTGCTGGCTTTTCTCAAGCTGTTCAAACTAATCTGGAGCTTGTACTTTTCCCAGGAAATTGAAGTTTGTTAGGCAATCGTCACTGATTCCAGAGGAGCCTGTGCACATCCCAGTCAATACCCTATCTCCCATTAGGCTGAACTTACACGAAATTAGGAAGAGGGCCTGGTGTCATTGTGTTTTGCGAAACATCAGTATGTGACTGGATGACTTCCTCATCCTGCCTTTCTTATTTGCAACAGGACTGATACCCTTAGGATAGGATGGTGACATTACTCACTGATACACTGTCCCCATCAGGGCAGGATGCAAAACACCCAGGAAAGGGGGAAGCTAAGATGTGATTCTCGTGCATGGTCCACTCATATCACATGAGCACCATGTGCCCATCAACATGAAAGCATATCATGCATTCACTGTTGCATGACAACCCCTGTTAGACAAAGGTCTGCCCAAGGTCAGCCCTGACCTTCATCCCTCTGGGGACCCAGACTTTCCTTCAGTCAATTTGACTTCATTACATGGATTACATGGATTGTACCGTATTACGTATAAGTGCCAGTGAGTCCTAGAAATGTGTAACTCTGTGAAGAAACTGGAAAATTCAATTAGGCTGACTACTTGACATTAGGTAAAAAACACAAGCTTAATAGGAATTGTCGAGAATTGGCTACTATTTTCCCTTAGAGTTCAAGTAGCTTGTATGAATACAGAGATGCATGGGACCTAAAACAGTTTGGGAATTGGGGGTGGGCCTCCTCTTGTGCTGCTCAGTAGATGAGGGTGAAGTTTCTTCCAGTGCTAGCAAAGGTGTTCCTTGTGTTAAGCAGACCCCGTTCTGGAGCTATATGCCACACCAAGGCAGGGACAAGTCATCAGTTAGCCAAAGAGTCCTGTCCACGTGGGATGAAAAAATAACCCAAGCAGACCAGTTGTGGAAACAAAAACACACCAGAACTGCTTGCAAGCTCCAGGGTGGTCACTACCTCACCAGGGATGCTTCTGAAACCGTGTGTTTTGTGGGTTGGTGACACCAGACTCTTTATAGTAGCCTCAGAGATCCACAGCAAAACTCTTTATCAATTTTTATTTCCTACCATACACCAAAGGTACAGCACTGAACACAATTTTGTTGCTTTGATGTAAGAAATATTAATTGTTTGGAGAAACAGTATACAAACAAACTACTTCAAATTAAAAAATGCATACATCATTGCCTTTTTGTTTACAAAAGATCCAATTTACAGTATTGGTCATTAACATAGTTGAAAAGCAAAAAAATTCAGTGCACATTACAAAACACATCAAGTATAAAGGAGGCAAATAAATACAAACATAGTTCACAAAACATCCCACTCAAACTATGCAAACACAAATAAATTAACCCGAAGTCATAGTAAATTATAGTAATAAATACATAGCTTGGTAAGAGATTTCTTTTTAAATTAAATAAAATATATAACAAACTCGTTAAAATATTTAGCAAATTAAACTTTTGTCTTTATAATAAGTGAGCTCATTTGTATGTATCTGTGAAGTTCTGTATAGCAAAATGTTTTCAGGTACATAGCTTCAATAGAAAATTTTGTATGGTGTCCCATTTTTAGTAGACAGCACATATGGTAGCTTTTTTTCTTTTAAATTGATTTTTAAATAAACACCATTCCTACCTAAGAACAAACATCTCGTTTTCACTAAACTAAGATTCAAGAGTTCAAATGAACCCCAAGCCAAAGGTAAGCCCCACTGGGTGTATGATGATGGCCACAGTCTCATGGAGTGGAACACCGTTGAGTATTACTTGTGCGGTGACAGTGACAACAGTGGAACATATCAAGCCTGTGAGTGCCTTCACATTCAATCTACATACCCATGAGGCTAATCAAAAATAAACACTTTTGTTATAGCACAGAAAATTAAGCCCACACTAAGTTCATGTGTACATTTACACCGAGGCACGTCTGCACATGAAATGTGTGTGCACACCAAAAGGCAGTTTAGCTGGTTGTCTATACCTTTTCTTTAAAAAAAATAAATATAAAAAAACTTTTGAAACAATGCTTAACTACTTTACAATCCCTGAAATAGACATTGCCTTGACTACAGCAACTACTAAACTCTGATCCATTCAGAAATTCAAGGCTGGGGGCTCAATTTTATGTGTGGATGGGTGTGTGTGAGTGTGTGTATGTGCAAGTGTGCCTGTGTGTGCGAGTGCATGTGTATACTTTGTGCCACTTGCAGTTCAATAGCAAGATTTTTCTTTTATCAAATGGAATGTTGTCTTGTTTAAGGAGGGTGAGACCAGTGTCACCAGTATTCAAGTAATCACTCAGATTGCAGTAATTTTTTTTATGTCTTACTCTTTTTCCATTCCTTCCCAGTCAACCCATTAAGATAAATGCTATTTCAGGGGATATGGTATCTACAAAATTTCCTATTTGGATGTGTTTGTGTTCGCTAAGTACAAATCTACACCAATATTGTCACTTGTATATTGTACCAACATATGGCAGGAAAGCCTGGCTGGTCACATCAAGTCTTATTTCTCATCTTGGGATAAGAGTTGCCAACTATCTGATATGACTTGAAAAACAAACAGACAAATTTGCATCACTAAAAAAGCTTATGTTTCTTCAAAACATTTCAAATAAATAATTCATATTAACTAAAACCGTACAGCCAAGTTGAATACTTTGCTGATTGCTCTATTTAATTATTGCTAACAAATTCTGAGCAGGCTGTTTTCCAGCATCCTGTGCTTCTGTGAGTGTGGATTTCCCACTAGTGGGCGCCATTTATCTTTTTATTCCTTCCACGCAGCTCACCCTAACGCAAATTCATTTATAAATACAAAAACCAGTGGAAGAGGGGAAAGAGAAGTGTGCAATAAAACTCAAACGTGACCACAGTGCAGTCCTCGGACAAGGGTCTCCCTCACACTCTTGTTTGCTCAGTTAAACCCAGCAAGATAGGTGATTTGAGAATAGCATTTCTATTTAAATTCTATTAGAAAATAAATTAATAAACACACTTGTAAAAATATGGCAGACCTCAAAATGCAGTTAAAAGATAAAAAACTCTTTGATTAGTAATAAATAAAATATAAAAATGTCACATTTATTTTTACATATACTTTACAAAAGAAAGAGTGCAATGAAGAAATAAAAGAAAAACATATGAAAATAAATAAGATCTAATAATTGACTGCATTGCTTTTAATCCAAAGAGTCTATCATAGTTTTTCTTTTCTTTTTATGTCAGCTGGGGAAAAAAAAAATTAGTGCAACGTTGCATTTGTGAAAGCGGCACGGCAACTCCGCGCCTGAGCGTGCGCGAGCCCTGGCAGCCCCACCTGGAGCTGACTGCAGCTGGTAACCTGTGAGCCCGCAGCCGCGCCCCTACACATGGATCCCCTTCACTGCCTGTTTGATACTTTCCAGAAGAGCTTTGCATTCCGGGGAATAGTCTCGTTCCAGATTGCTGTACATGTCTGTGAGTGTATTTACATATGCTTCAAAATTCTGCTCACTGATAGGTCCCTAAATGAAGAGAAAACATAGTGAAACCGAGCACAGTGGTTCAGGCTGAGGCCAAAGGAGGATCAGGTGACCATGAAGAATGTCCCCGAGTCAGGAGTCTGGGAGGAAAGACTAGGAATTTAGAGAAATTTGAGTGGGTGTTGGGAGTCATCTGTTCTCATTTTAATTCATGGGGCTAGTGCAACTTGATTGTGCAGTACTGGAGTTCAATCTGGAGCCATATCAGGTGCACATCTGGCAGCTGAGCTGAACTTGTTCAAAACATATGCCTCTCTGTCTCTTAGGAGCCTTACTTACTTCACAAGGTGCCTGGAAGGAAGGACTTTACATAGGTCTAACTGCAGTTTGTGCACAGGATGTTATTGTCATTGCTGTTATTTAGAAGCCAGCTTTTAAATCTGAAGTTTGGTTGTGCTCAGCAAAGTACTGAGCTGGGCAATTAGTATTGCCCATTGTCACAGTATTGTGACCTTCTGTTCCCTTTTAGTTTTTGCCTTTGCTGTGCTATGAGGTTCTTGGAGAATCATGTAACTGGACAAAGATCCAGGTGGCAGAGTGGATAAAGGCCACACCACGAAGCCAGGCCCACCCGACTCATGTTTGCATTGGAACTTTGATAAAGAGATGGAAGGTCTGCGCCACGACTCCTCCAACTAGAACAGGAATGGCCACGCTTGGTCTTTGGGGTTAATGTGAACATTTCATGTGATCAGTCCTAGGAGGCCCCACAGGTCTGCCTCAGAGAGTAAGCATCCAAGGTAAATGGTATCTTGTGTAGTGTCTATCTTTTTTATGGCACTGGTGAAGAAGAAAATATTAAGGAATATACATTGGAAGTAGGACTTAGACAAATGTTAATAAATAATATCATAATATCCAATAAGTAACTTAATGCTAGCCATATGTAATAATTTATTTTCCTTTGTGCTCATTATAATATTAGTGTTTTTTTTCTTGTCAAGAAACACAGTTGGAATTGGCTAAGATGAGGCTCCATGCTAAGAGGTTGGGTAAGTTGAGGAACTTATTGTTTTAAGCAAACCCAATTATGTTTTTTTTTTTAAATTGCATTTCTGCTTCCTTAAATAATTCTAAATATAAAACTGGCAACTTTATTCTAAGAATGTAGGCTCCAAGGAAAAACATTCAACAATGCAGCCTCTTCTCTAAAGATTTATTTATACTTATGAAAATGTAAAATAAACTAATATTTTATGATTTCTAAGTAGTTGCATACCTAAAACACTTGTTTAGATTTTGGAAATAAGGATGCCTTGTGCACGTTTGTTCTTTTTATTCTGTATGAAAATAATTCATTGGAAATTAAAGTTTTTATAGTTTTTGAATGGGGTGATACAGTAAGGACTAAGTTTCATATATTGTAAGCCATAGGATCTTCTACTTAGAAATATATTTTCAGTGAGAGTTTTGGACTCCAACTTTCATATTACACTATAAAATAAGCTTCAGATAAAACTATATCTTACATGACCTTGGCCTTTAAGGATATCCTTGGCCCAGCTGGGGAGATGGCTATGAGTGGGAATGTAATGAAACTGTGGTGACAAGGCTATTGACAGGTCCTTCACAGCTAGGTCCTGCTCCCTGGCAGTCCTGAGTATCTGCATGATGACAATGCAAACACTTGTGATGGGCACCATGGTTCTGGGCTTTGACTTACCATCTGTGGCAGCTGGATGTCAGCGAGGCTTGAAATGAGAGCTTGGCTCAGACCTGCCAGCTCTTTCAGCAGACTTTCATTGTTCTGCTCTATGAGTTTGTTCTCCTCTTCTATTGTCTTCAGGTTGCTCTCCATGGATGTGATCTAAAATGGAAATTACGAGGGAATATGAGTACAGTTTGAAGGCCTACAAAAAGCCTCTGTCTGGGGCAATGCACGGTCTGAGCATAAATGCCAAGGGATGCAGATCCACAATTTCTTCAACTCAAATTGCAGCCCCAGGGTATTGTTCTAAGTGCTGGAATCACATTGGCAGATCTGCATCTTGAGCTCACACTTCTCCAGGAACTGCAGGTCTAGCCTCTCCATGTGACTGTGTTGGCTATCTCAAATACAATGTGGCCCCACAGCAACTCTTTGACATTTCTTCCATTTGTTTGCCATCCAGAGACTGCTCCTTTCCAGCTGATGGCAACCTGAACATTACTCAGGCATCAAGGTGTGCCATGGCTCTCTCTCACACTCTAAATCTACTGGGCACTCCTTTAAAATAAACAGGATGGGACCCCTGCCTACCACCAGCATGACAGTGTCACCTTCTTATAGATGGCCCGGTGGCTACTTTTGCTGCATGTGGTCTCTTCCTGACCCTGCCTCATTGTGGCCACCAGAACGAGTCAAATGCGAGTCAGAATGTAAGTCACATCTAACTGTTTTCTCTTAGCTCTAATCCCTGCAATGGTTCTGGATTCGTTCAGAATAAAACCAACATGGTCTAGGCAGCCCCGTGTGAAAGGCCCTCTGCCACTTCTGGGACCCTTCCTCTGTGATGTGTCCCTGCCCCATTTGCTCATCTGCAGGCACACTCCCTCTTTCCCACTGCTCAGGACTGCTTAAAGAGCAGTGGGCTAAAGCCCTTCATTTTAGGAGAGGAGAAAAGGGAATGGAAGAAGATGGAAAGGAAGGGGAGGGGAGCAGAGGGATGGAAAGGAAGCAGAAGATGCTCTGCTTCATCTCAGTCTTTTCCTTCTAACTTGTTGCAATAGAATTTTTATGAGTGTTTTAAAAATCCTGGGCTGAACTTTTGATTTCCATTTGTATAAATTAAACCAGGGGATGGGCAGGCATTATGGAGAATGCAGAGTTGAGGGTCACTTGGATGTTTTGGCTAAAAATATATACAAGATAATGTCCAATAAGATTTGTTTCTAACACAGACCGCAGACTGACACATACAGGAGTGTTCTAGAAATATTACATTAAAAAGTGATTTTTTTGAATTTTGAATAAAACTAAGCCCTCAATCTTCTTGGTATGACTCTTCCTAAAGCACCGTGTGCTTGGCAGGACTCTAACTGTAGAGCATCTGCTTTCTGTGTTCTTGAAGGCTTGCATGCAACCAGCACGGAAACGGGAGCAGCTCTACCTGTAGCTACCAAGTCAATAATGACCTGTGTGGTTCACACATTCAGGACTTTACAATAAGTGAGACTGAGAAATGTTTGGTGCACTCCCTTTTAAGATATCAGAATAACTTCATATGCAAGGTTTAGTAAGTTCAGGATTTTGTTTCCACTAAAGATTATGATTATTTCAGAGAGAAAGCCAATTAGTTTTCTCTTCTTTACCTGAGTCTGAAGTTTCATCATATCTGCTTCAATTTTAAGGTTGGATTCATTCAGTTCCTTTATTTCTTCATCCAAATGCCTAATTTCTTCATCACCTTCTATTCCTGTGAAGAATCAGACTGTCTTAGTTCAAATTGAAAATATCAGAAAGTGGCAACTGAGATTCATTTTGTTTTTAACTTGTGGCTTGACCATTGAAAATGAGAATTTAGTTTGAAGTGTTTTTACCTAAACCACACATTAGCAGGATTTTGAAAAAAGTGGGTAGTAAGAGTTATGACATTTAATTTTTTTGTAAGAAAGAAAGGAGGGAGTGGAAAAGTACCACTATTTAACATAGCTCAGTTACATCACCATAAAACTGCTGCACATGTCCCTAACTGTCCTCATTTCCAGCTCCTTGCACCCTGTGGGGCACGTCCTATTCCACCCTTTTATATATAAAAGCACTGGGCTTCAGACTGGTTAAATGAGACCTCAGGAATCACTGACAGAAATTAAATAACCTGTCTAACCCAAATCCAGAGACGGAGATAGATGAGGACATCCAAGCTGGTGCATTTGCTTGTGCACCTGCTGCAAAGACGGTATCTGTTCAGTTGAGCTGGACCTGTGACCTATTGCAGGAACAGCTGGCAGGTGAACTGGAGTTCAGAGACACACAGTAGAGTTCTCTTCGTGTATCAGGTGAGGAGCACATGTAATTTGGGGGAAAGAACATGGCTTTGAGACTTGTTTTTGTTTTTGAATTTGGGAACCTTACTGAGCTTCTTTGGGTTTCAGTTTCCTGTCTGCAAAACAAGCATAATATCTATGTTGTGACAATGAACAAAATAAAATGTAGAGTGCAGAGCACACAGTGAGGTTTCCATGAATGTTTGCTACTTCCCACTATTATTTTGTTGAAGGAGTATGAATGCATTTAAACATTTGAAGAAACTGGGAAAGGGAGTTAATATGAAAGCTACCACAAGCAGAATCAGAGGTAATCTCAAAAGTCCAGAAGAATGAATATAAACCAGAGTTGACAACAAAGAGAAATAAAGGCAGACTTCTGCAGATGGGTTTAATAAGGTCAAGTTCAAGAGTACAGATGGGGGAGATTTGAATTCACAATTTATTTGAAAAGATCTAGGTGCTTATACTTTCCTGGGTTGACTTCCTTGGAATCTTTATGGCTTGAATGTGTCTCAAAAGTTCAAGTGTGGGAAATTTAATTTCCAACATCATATTTAATGGTGTTTGGAGGTGGGCTCTTCGGAAGGTAGTTTGAATTAAATGAGCTCTTAAAGATGGAGGCTCTCTGGTGGCTTGAGATGAGGTCATGAGGGTTGGGTGCCCATGATGGCATTTATAAACTTCATAAGAAGAGGAAGAGACCTGCCTGGCATGCTTGCTCTGTGTCACATGTGGTGTCCTCTGCCATGTCACGATGCAGCATGAGGCCCTCACCAGATGTTGAGCAGAGCAGGTCCCAACCTCCAGAACTGTGAGCCAAACTGACTTCTATTCTTTAAAATCACCCAGTCTCAGGTATTTTGTTATAGCAACAGAAAATGGAGTCAGATAACTACTGAAGGTGAATGATCACATACTCTATGACCCAGCAATTCTGTTCCTAAGTACTTGTGTAAGAAAGACAGGTGCATACATACAGCAGGATGTGTGTACAAGAGGTACATAGCAGCACTGTTCACAAAACCCCATCTGGAAACAAGCCACATGCCCCTCACCCAAACAGTGTGTATGATTCCTAACACTATAATATCAAGAGGGGAAAAGTAAGTCCTGAAAGTTCACATACAATGTGATAAAACAGGTGGATACTTTGTAGGTATTTAATGTTTTTTAAAAGTATCTACATGAAAGTGGGCCTTGTATGGACCAATGAAGAGAGTGTTTCTCAGGACTGAACTCATTCTGGGCTCTGAGATTTAATAAAAAAGGAAAACAAACCAACAACTAAGATGCAGGCACTTTAGTACTCAGCTATTAACAAGCGAGTAAACAGATAGATACCTGGGGCTACGCTAATGTCACTATAGTGTCTCAGACCCAGGGCTTCTTCTGTACAGGTCAGTTGTATTTAGAGAATGAGTGCATTTGTGATTACCGCAGCCTACTGGCTGTGTGCTGGGAGAACAGTCTTGTCTCAGGCAACCAGTAGGTAGAAGTTAGAGAAGAAAGGATTGAGACATTTCAAATACATAGGTATTCGGAGTGCTGTCATCCTTGAAATTTTTCTGATCTGAGTAAATGAAAGTTTCTATTGCTTTATTTCTTTGACATATTGTTTTCCTTTCTGTTTTTTGCAATAAAATTCTACTTCATGGATGGTACTTTCTTACATAGCATCTAGTGAGGCAGACAAAAATGAAGCAAAATAAAACAAGGAACACTTGTGAGTATGAAGATCTCTGAAGGAAACAGGTGGGGTGCCATGAGGACTGTCACGGGAGAAGACTCATGCACCTGAGACCATAAAGCTAAGAGAAAGGCAGGAGAAGGAGCAGCTAGCAAGCAGCCAGATGAGCATCCCAGGTGAGGGAAACAGAACAAGCTCAGGTGCGGGTGGGAATGAAGTAGGTGCTTCTGGAAAACATGAGGTGAGTGGGGGCAGGAGGCATGGGGAATTCATTCCTAGTGCAATGGAGCCAGGAAAGGAGTCTGTGTGATCTAGTTGACTTTCAAAGACTTAACTTGGAATTTGAGTAGAGAATGGATTAAGAGGAGACAAAGTAGACACTGGAAGCCAGTCAGGAGATTATCGCTGGAGTTCTGGCTAGGCTTTGCCTGGCCATGGAAGTGGGGGCAAGGAGGGAGCTGGACCAAGATATAATTTGTAGGAAGAGTTTGCAAGACTAGTGGTGGACTGGAGTAGGGAGGGGAGAAGGAAGGAGTCTAGGGTGGCTGCTTATTTTGCTGGAGTAGAGCTTTCTCTGGGATGCAGGCGATGGGGGTGGGGAGGCAGCAACTTGAAGTAGAAGAGCTAAAAGGAGATTATGAGACACCAGCCCATTCTTCTTTCTCTCTTTGCTTCTTGGCCACAGCACTCTATCATGCACTCCTCATAGTAGGTGCTACCTTGTGGAGAGTGGATTATGAGAAGCCTATGAGAACTGGACATAAGCAAGGCGAGATGCAGCTCAACAGCTTTTCCTAATTGTAGGCCAAGATTGACACAGCCCTCGTCACAGAAGAGGAAAATGCAGAACAGCTGCTTCTCCTAAGTTGTTTATGGTCAGAGAAGCAGGAACGCAGGAACTCTTGCTACAGTATCACGCCCCTCCCTCCCTGAGAACCGCTGCTCCCCCTGTTTACCACTGGGTATAAAAGACTCACTGAAGAAGGACGCAAGGCTTTTGCTTTTTGCTTTGGGGCCTTTTGCTTTGGGGCTTTTGCTTGAGGCTTTTGAGCAAAAGCCCAAAACAGAAAAGACTTTAAAAATATGGTTTTAAGGAAAGACTTTAGAAGCAAGGTTTTAAAAAACTGTAAAGTAGTAAGGCCTTAAGAATAAAGATAGAGAAAAGAAGCAATGAGGGTTGGGTGTCTCCACCCGAGCACCCAACACACCTGATCCCACTTTCTGTCTGTCTATCCTGTGTCTTTTCTGAATCTTCAGTTGCCCCCAGTTAAGCCCAGTTAGGGTCGGTAATAACCAGGAATGAGAGAAAGCTCATTCCAACAAGGGAGCGAGAAAAAACTCGCTCCAAGAAGAGAGCAAGAAAAAGTTCACTCCACTGCCTCATGACAGGCCCACAGCAATGGGCCAACTGATCACGGACTGGAACCTCCAATACTGTGAGTCAAAATAAATCTATTTTCTTTATAAGTTGATTATCTCAGACATTTTGTTTAGTAATGGAAAGTTGACTGAGCAACCAAACCATTTAATCAAGACAGTGCTCCAAAACACAGATTCTTGGAGCTTATGGAGAAGGCAATGACCATGGGATAGGGCCTCATAGGACCTAGTATGTAATAGGCTCCCCATAAATTCTCAGTAAATTCATAAATGAGAGAACTAATGTTTTTATTATGATTTCTGAGGTTTGGGGAGATATTTTAGATATAGGATCATGTTTAGTAGTTTTTTTTCCTGTTAATACATCACCTTACCTTACTTCCAACAAGACACTCCTCCTCTCAATGTACACAATGTATAAAAGCCTTATTTCTATCTTAGTGGAGTGTTTTACCACTGAGTGAAACTGAGGGAGACCCCAGATTTTGAATTCCACTCTGCAATCCCAAATAGTAACTTGTTTGACACACGAGGTGAAACCCTTATTACCTAATTTCTCAGACAGGAAACCAAGAACTGAGATTCAAACATAGGGTCTTTGGTCTCAAAATACTTTCCCTTAACCACCCTACAATGGCTCCTTATCCATGATTTTGCTTTGTATGACTTCAGTTACCTGTGGGCAACTGAGCTGCAGCCTGGACATAGCAAATAGTAACGTCGAGAAATAATTTTCAAATTTCAAAGAACTTTTATTAGAGTAGCTTGTATAATTGTTCTGGTTTATAATTATGTGTTCTTATTCTCTTACTAAGCCTAATTTATAAATAGGAGCCGACATGGTTTATATGGAGCCCAGTACTCTCTGCCATTTTAGATATCAACTAGGGCCCTGGAGACAAGGGGTACAGGGTGCCTGTAATTGACCTTCGTTCATGGATTCTTATGTGTTTTGGAAAGCCCAGAAAAGTGTGTGCTGATGTTCCTTTTCAGACATACTTGCAGGAGAATGCTAGGCTAGCTAGGTGTTGCTGCTGATCAAGGAAACCAGGCAAACATCCCTCTGTATATTTTTACTTAACCATCCAATGATGCTGGACTTTAAAAAAAAATAGATCCACATATTAAAAAGATAGAAACTATATTTTCTTTTCATTTAATAATTCTAATTTTTATTAATCTGTGCCTAATTTGTGCAACTAGTGATGGTGTAGTTTATGATAACATTTTCTTTATGTTCCATACAATTATACAAGGGATTTCTACACCTGTATATAGCAAGTGTTCCCAACTTATAAGTGGGTTTTAAGTGGTTGTCTTTTTCATAATATACAAACAAAATAATCCTATTATATTTCAAACAAATTTCGTTATATTTATTGAGTGAACATTTATCTTTATATTGGGTTTTCAGGCTAAAATTTTACTTTATTTAGGGGGAAGTAAATTAATGTAAATTTGATGACTTTTGTTACTAAAGGAGTGAGGAGGGTTAATATCCATAAAGAACTGATGAATTACAATATTTAGAACATGCTATTGCCACCTGAGAAAAGCTAGAAGGATCTACTAAACATGAGAGTATATACATAGATATAGATGCATCATAATTTTTATTTGTTCCCACAAAGCACAGAATGACAGGGATTCTTTCTTCTGCAAATGGCCTAATGTTGTTATCACAGACTAACTGTAATCTTTAAGAAAATCAGTGTGGCAAGGACAGAGAACTGAGGACCAATTCTGATAAATGTAAACATTTTTTGGTACAGACCTTCCATATGGGAACTGGTTTGGAAGTAATAGCCCTGGAAACATTATTTAGCTCAACTAATTGTGAAAATGATTTGTACCTAGTTTAATTTAACATTGTAGACTAAGATCAAAGTCATATGCACTTTGTATTTTATTGCAATTTGATTTTTCTCTTCTGTTTTTATGGCTCCCTCATAATCTGTTTTGTTCTTATCATTGCTAGCAGCAGCCTTGTGATTTGTATTTAGATAATGGGTGTAGCTGGTGTTCTCCTGATGAGGTCACCTAGGCAGTATTCCTTCATGCACTCAGGTCATCAGAGGTGTGCTCTAATGTGCCCATGCTGTTGCTTCTTAACAAGCTGAGTCAGATATGAGATCCATGTTTACCCAGTGTCAAATGGCTTGGCTAGCACATATTTTGATATTCTTAAGTTTGTCCTATTTTGCTTTCTTATCTTTGGTTTTCCTTTGTCTCATTGTTTGAATTAACTTTTAAGTAGCTTTGCACTCTTTACCCTTTAGAGGCTGTTTGAATTAAGGTGATGTACAAATAAGTGCACATTAAATTGTCCCAGTTTTCCTGAAGAGTGGGGATTATTTCTGAGTGACAGCCCATGCCCTGAGGAGAGCTCTGAGTGTTGGAAAGAATGGAGGGGCAGACCCGTCATGTATTAATATCCAGGTATTCCACCCCTCCTGTGTGTGCTGACCTCCCACAGCAAGTAGCAGTGATCACCTAGCAGCTGTAAGTAAAGCAGGTGAGGGTCACCCTCCTGGGATGGGATCTGGGGAGGCTGGACAGTGCTCTCCTCCTCAAACACTGCACACCACACCTCTTATTTTACAACTCATGCTCACATTAAAAGGAGAGAGCAAGGGGTTGCCAATGTGGCTCAAGTGGTAGAGTAATGCTTGCATAGCAAGTGCAAGGCCCTGAGTTCAACCCTTAGTACTGCCAAAAAAATAAAAATAAAATGAAGAGTGAGCAAAGCTTTCAGAGAAATAAAGTGACAACAGTTGAAAGTCCTCAGTTTGGACTGGGGTGTAGTTCAAGAGATGCAGTGTATGTGTCACATGCAAGAGGCCTTGGGTGCCAGCCCCAGAAACTCTTCCCCTTCAAAAAAGGAAAAAGACTCCAGCACAGCTCTAATCACATGCTGAAGACATCATCAAATAAAATCTCCAAAACACAAGATTTGCTTTGCCTTGTGTCCCTCAGCTGCGTTAGAAAGATATTCAATGGAAAACAAAGCAGGCCAGAGAGTGTGCTGATTAGAAATTTTAGAAAAGTACTCAAGAACCAAAGAAAAGCAGGAGGGTGGAAGTATAGAGTTCAGAACTACTATGTAACTTTGATAAAGGATTGACACTAGAAAATGTGTACAGAGATGTGGACAGAGATGCTAAAGTCAACCGCAAAAACATTCTTTGGATTATACAACACAACACTTAACGGTTCAGATATAGATGGCAGAAATTATGTTTCCTGGAATTTGATGGGAGATTTGTACTGGGAACACACCCACAGGAGAGGAACTGTCACTGTGAAGTCTGAAGGACACAATTTCTGCCTGTGTGTTTCAGTCATCTGTATGCCATTTCTTAGCTTTTTCTGCTTTGAAAATCCTTATTAAAAAGTAAGGGAGAAACCAAGAGACTGTTTCTCAGGTAAACTTACAGTTTTAGCTCAAATTTGAGGAAACTCTTCTTTTTTAAAGCTGTTGATCATTTTTTATTTTACTTTTTCCTTCTGGAAGTGAGAATTAATGAGTCAAAAGTATGGAAATTTTTTAAGGATACAAACTACTAATTGCTTTCCAGAAAACAGATTAGTTTCAGACTTCAGTATGTGATGGCATACATTTCCCTACATTTTAAAAATAGTTTTATTATATGACACTCTTTTTAAAGATTAAGAGTTCCTTGTGTACAATGCATTCTGACATGCGGAATCCAGGGGCCACTGTCTGGACTTCACATCAGTTGTTGACTTACCCCCGGTCGCTTTGAGCTTGATGGTCATTAACTCCTCGGAAACCTTGCCCTTCCTGATAGCTTGTGCATTGAGAGGACATCCAGACAAGCTACAAAAATAGAATGTATAGTAATGTGTGAAGGACGTATCATTTCTTACAGAAATTAAAAAGTTTTATTCACTAATATTGATGGTTTTGCCTGCTCACAAATTTATCACACCCCCTAGTCTCTTTGTAGAAAATAACCAATAAATATCTATTAAAGCAAAATCAAAAGTCCTCAATGGAAATGTTTGTGGTTTTTTTTCTTAAACCAAAGTAAAATAGTCACTCTGTTACAGAATCACAGTTTACTTCATTTTGTTACAGTGCTTCTCATCAGCATTCGTGGTGGTGACTTTATTTCCCATAAACATGAAATTGTACATATAGGATATGAGTAAGGACTAACTAGTGAAAATTACATGAAAAATAAAGCAGACTCTTGCCCTTCCTATTTTTATACAAAGTATGGTCTGAGCTTTAGAGAATGACTCAAGTTAATAAAAGCCAAGAACAGCTGGTGGAGTGGCTCAAGCAGTGAGTGCCTGCCCAGCAAGCATGAGGTCCTGGGTTCAAACCTCAGTGCTGCCAAAGAAAGAAAGAAAGAAAGAAAGAAAAAAATGTCAAAAACAATTCCCCACTCTTCCTATGGGAAATTCAGTCTGGTTATAGGAAAGTTTCTATTTTTCTCTTTCACTATTAAAACATTTTCTATTTAAAAAATATCTACCCTGAGAGAAGAATAAAAGGAGCGTGTGCAAGTGTATTTAGCCACAGTCAGGGTGAGGTGGTCTATTATCCTGTGGTGGTGTTTGTAACACGGCCCATTGAACAGTTGCACTCTTCAGCGGGCTTCTTTGCTTTAATGTAATCTTCTTTATTTAAATTGTACCAATATGATAATGAAAACATTGAACAAAACCTGTTTTCCATTATTTTATGATCAGATAATTTTGTTGTTCCAAGCAGCCATTAATTCTTCCGCAGTTTTGTTGTATCTTTGTAAAAACATGTTTTAGATCAAAATAAAAACGATCATAATCAGCCATTTAAAATATTTTCCCCACAGAAATGTGGTTACAATTCATCTACAAAACAATCATTTCAACCTGAAGTTTGCAATGCTGTGTAAAGTAGAAGAAAATATTTCTGGAGCACAGTTTTTAATAAACAAATAAATGTGAATTATTGTATTTTTTAAGAATAGCAAATTATTCCACATTAAGGATCTATAACATATGAAAAGTAATAATACATAACCATAACACATAGCAATAGGTAATATTATGAAATGATAAGGTTGTGTGATTTGCTCAGATTTGATAAGCACTAGATTATTTTACACAGGAAAAAAAAACAAGCTCAGAATCTGAGCTTTCTGTTTGGAAGTTTCTCACTGTCAATATGGCTGGTCTTTTTCTGGAGAGTTTGCACAAGTTTATCTTGTTTTACTGTCATATGTTGTGCTCTAAGAAAATGGTTGTGAATGGAATGAACATTTAGTTGGTAAATTGGATTTTAAAAGGTGCCTGTAGTAAGTCTGTTTGTAATAATGGATGGTAATATCTCACTATAGCCTTTCTGGCCTTCTCTCTAAAGCACCTACATTGTTCAGACAATTTGTAGTAAATTTCTAGGGTAACATAATGTTGTGAAAAAGTTAATAGAGGGTCAGGTGTGGTGATGCAGGTCTATAATTCCAGATACTTGGGAGGCATAGGAAGAAGAATTGCAGTCTGAGGTTGTTCCCAAACAAAAATGCAAGAGTATATCTGAAAAATAACTAAACTAAAAAAGGGCTGAGGATGTGGGCCAAATGGTACAGCATCTATCTAGCAAGTGCAAAGCCCTGAGTTCAAAACCCAGTACTGTCAAAAAAAATCATTATCCACAATTACACGATTCTGAACCAAAGTATATTGTCAAGTTATGAAAGCGAGGCTTTGGTTTCACAAATGCCACTTCATATTCTTGTATCTTCTAATATAATTATATCTTCCAGGATGTAAAAAAAATCTTAAATTTTAAAAAGTATTTCAGAAGTCCTTTATGCTTTTGAAGATGGAGCTTGGCAGGCCTGTGGTAACCTTCAGGGTTTGGGCTTCATAAGGTAAAAAAAAAAGTGCCTTAAGTAGTTTCATTCAAATTTGCAATCCAACTAACACCTATCACAGCAATGTAAAGCTTTATTTTTATTTGTCTTCTTAAACAAAAGTGGCAGTGACACAATTTATGGCACACTTGATTCGTGACTGCTGTTCCCGAATATGAAATAATGATCCAAACACAGATTAAAACAGAGTGTGCTATAGTGGACGTGAGCCTACATTTGAAAGCCAACAAAAACTTGAAAAGTTCAAGTTTAAGCAATTCCTAGAAGGCTTCATTTTCTGATGCCATCAATCTATATCCATAGAACTGGACAATGTGTCCAAATGCTCTTGTGCACCCTGCTTACAAACAGAGCACCCAGGGCTCCCTAAAGCTGTACTGGGTTTCAAATCAGCACCAATCCCATAGCCCACGAGGCTAGAAGACAACTCAACCATTGAAGAAATAGTTGGTGAAACTCGTAGCTCTTCTTTAGATAGAATATGAACCACAAGGCCCAATAAAGGATTTGGTTGAAATGCATGACACTTAGCGATAAAGGAATTATGTCAGTGTGAAACTATAAAAGGGTTTCCTAAATCTCCCTTCCTCCTGCTGTATCCTTAGCAGTTGCTGTGCTGTTTTCTTTCTGGCTGCTGAGGGTGAGTCATATCTTCCCAGTAGCAAGGAAGGGGGATGACACAAATATGTAATGTGAAGCTTTAAAATTGCATAATATAATAGAGTAGATATCACCACTTGGAACTGAAGTGAACCATTAAAAGACTGAACCATTTAAAAAGAGCATAAGCAATATTTGAGAATATAATAACCCAATGCACAGTTTCCAGAGCATTTGAAAACTGTGTAGTGAATTTTTGGAAATAAAGAAAATAACAGTTTTCATTCTTTAGAGTAATCAGATATCTTTTTAACAAGACTCAATGTTATGACATCTAAAGTGTTATAATTTATGACATTTAAGAGGGTTTACCCTCCTCCCCAAAGCAACCCAGGTGACAATCAATCACAACAACAAAACAAGAAGTCAGAGAACAAAAGTTACCTTCTGTGGGTGACAAAAACATTGTTTACGTGGCCCAGTCCATTGCAGCCTGGCAAGGGACAATGGGGTAGTTCTTGCTTGTTGAGTTTCCAAGTGAGAGGGGCCCCATTGAGAGGATTCTCTTTCTGTCTCTTGGCAGCCAAGGGACAGCCGGATGCTGTGCGATGTGATGTATATTTACCTGATATGTGACCTTGGCCATCACACCCTATTACAGGACATCTAGAGAGACACAGCTGACATTACTAGCTGGAGAAAAGGCAGTAACAGTTGCATACTACCCAGGAGGCAAAACATGGAATTATAATTTTAAAAGGTGAGTAGCAAGGCAACATTTGTGATCATAGTGGCCTGTGGGCTCTGCGATGAGCCATTTTCATCTCTTTTAACATTCACCGCAAACTCATCAGCTATCCCATTTTGAAGGTGGGGAAAATGAGGCTCACAACAAAAGCTTAGCTCACTCACCACCCATTTTACAAGGAGTAGCGCCAAAGGGCTGGCGCTGTGACTCAAGTGGTAGAGTGCCTGCCTAGCAAGCATGAGGCCCTGAGTTCCAACCCCGGTGCCACCAAAAAAAAAAAAGAAAAGAAAAAGGAAGTAGACTCACTGCATTCCCACACTTCATAGTTCGAGAGCCAACCTACCTAAGCACTAACTTATATTGTTTCTGGGAAAAATTCCAGGGTATAAAATGCTAACCACCTCGATTAATGCTACCATACCACATCACTCATGGTACTGGAATTTTGGTTCGCAAATGTGTAACTACTGTATTTAGAAATGTTGACGTGAAAACAATGTATATTTCTATCGAAACTGCACCGATCACTCCAGATTTGATGGCATAGTTCTTAGGGGAGGACATTCAGTTTAGATAGTTTCCCTGTGTAATATTGAAGTCTTGGAGGAAAAGGCTGCAGTATTTGTCATTCTGTAGCACTCCCACAATGCTGCTTTTCTTTGGGACACCTGACAAAATGACTAACCTCCCCTCTTTATTCATCTGCATTGTCAAAGAAATGTGAAAACACAGCTATGAATGGGAATTTTCTAGAGCCTCTAGCCAAGCTGACTCCTGCTTCAGGAGTCCTGGTGCTCACTGGGGTACACCTTCTGGCAACTCAGTGGATGATTTACTGCATCCCAACTGAGGCTCCTCCCACTTAGCTAACAAAATACAAGCTGAGCTTGGATGCTCAACTGTTGCACTTACTTAAGTTCAGGGTCTTCTTTTTCTTCCTTGGTAGGGGTCATTTTGATGCCACCTTTCCTTGCACGAGGGCAGCCAGATAAACTAAATTGTGCAACCAACAAATAAAAAAAAAAAACACAAAACCATGTGATCTCACTGGGTCTGCCTCTGACCCGCTGGGTCCCATGTCAGAAGCAGGATCAGCTTACCTTCTGTGGGAAGCATAGTTTCCAGTCACATGACCCGAACCATCACAACCTGGAGTCGGACACCTGGAAAACACAGGAGTTTGGTCCACTAAGTCAGGAGAGGCAGGGAATGATGGCATATTCAAATAGAGTTAAACAGAATGAGCTGCTTTGGGTGTGGTCCTTTTTGGTTAAGAATCCATTTTTATTTTTAAATTAAGATCAGTCCACAAGTGATTCTTGGTAGACAATATTTCAGTCATTATTTTTTATTCATTCATTTTTCTTCACTTTTAACCACACATTGGAAGGAACTTGAGAGTCAGCCTACAAGTTATTCCTGGGATTCCGTTTATGCCATGCAAAGCTCTTATTTTTCATGTAAGAAGAACAGTTTCCCATATTGTTTTTATGAGTCATTTATTTTCTCTGATATGCTATCCAACCATGATAACCCATTAATTTCAGATATGTGAACTACAGAGTCTTGGGATATTAATATGATTATCAGAGAATTTGAATTATTTGTACTGGAGTGTCCTGCCTCATGACCTAAGTTTACAGATTTTTGGGAAAATCCACCAATAACTGTTATCAACAATCAATCATTAAATTTGGGATGACAAGGGTAAAAAAGAAAGGGGAATCCATTTCTACATGTAATGCTGATTAGGAATAAGGTTCAAAATACTCTGAATACTAAAATGTATACAGATTTTCATCTTTTTGTTGCTTTAAAAAAACCAAAACAGATGGAAGTAGAGAGGCCATCACCAAAATATTTACATTATTGGAAGTTCTTTGCAGATTATCTTCATTTATTATTTCACATTTAGGCTACCCGTGGTTTGTGTCTCCACTCTGTATGAGTTCCATTTGAGAAAAGCAATAATCAAAAGAAAACTATTATTCCTTGTCTTAAACTTTATCCCAATGAACTTTTATGGAGTGTTGCTATGTCAAATCCTGAGACACAAAATAGGGAACATTCCTTTTTGCCCCAAATGAAATAAAATATCAGCACACATCTCTTCCAGTTAACTACAGAAACATGCATTAAACCTTTAATCAACTATTTAAAGGCATAAGTTTGCTCTGTAGTAAAAGAGGTTTGCATACTTCTCATTTTCTATTAACATTTCTTAGTGAACTAGTGTGTTACCAGAATCCTGCAACTATTGTGCCACATCACCTTTGCTGGAGATCCTCCTTGAATATCTAAGCAAGAGGTCCATGATATGTGTTTTCATTGGGTGGAAAAACTATATCACACATACATGGCTGCACAAAAACAAGTAAATATTGAATATTTCAGTAAAACCTCTCAATCTGTATGCTTTCAATGTATTATTGACTTTAAAAAATGTTTACACAAAGTACTTAAGAGAACTCAAAGCTCTAATTAAGATGTAACAATGTAGAAGTTTGTAGCAACTGAGCGAGAGATTCTGGCATGCCTTACTTCTCAATCTGCTAATCTCCTGTTAACATTCTTACATTTTGGTCTAGAAAAATGGCTGTAAAAAATGATTTCTAGAATCTATCCTGAAACAAAAAATTGTACTTAACACTTTAAATATGAAAAACATTGTATATTTCATAGTTCTCTTTACTAGTTTTGGTTCTTTCTTTCTTTCTTTCTTTTAACTCTGGACCTCCTGCTTGCTAGGCAGGCGCTCAACCACTTGAGCCACAGTTCCGGTCCCTAGTTCTTGTTCTAAAACTCCAAATTTTTATATTGGTTCATTATCAAAGTTATAATATGTATCAAATTAAAATTTTTTATTCTATATGTCATATAACAAGGTATGAAAATAAGCAAATGAGAAACTTGGAATAAAAGAAGAGTAGGAAAAAGAAAATCAGTAAGTAAATGTCTCTATATATGTGACTTTGAGAATTTTATAAACAGGTAGAAATGAGCCAAAACTGATTAGTACCCAAGAGTGAAAGGCAGGTATGATTTCCAACCCACAAGGTAAACCATTATGTAATTTTCTTTAAAATTGGTGATGGAAGTGCTTTGCCACATCTTCATAAGGCCGATTTAGTAAATAAACTCTGAAATTAACAGCAGAAAATACTGTGTTCTACAATTACATAATCCCTTTAAAAATTATTATAAAATACAAGGCCCCCAAAGCAAGCAAATTAACTCAAGCAAATTATAGTGGTTCGGTTTCAGCTATTCCAAAATTTTTGGTGAAAGAATGCTGTTTTATCATTTAGTTAGGCATGATTCTCTTCTCCTTGCTTAAGGAGGGTTGCACCAGAGTGGATTAGGACATGGAGGTGGAGCCTCCACACTTACTTCAGCTCCTGAGAGTTGGCAGCCATGAGGGACTTAAGCGTCTTATCTGCTAAAGGACATCCAGAAACACTAAAGAGGGAGGAGAAAGAAAGACAAATACAACTCTGACATGGACACATTTCACTCAAATGAAGCCTGAGTTTTTGACATATATTAAATAACTGGTGACTAGGAACTGGGAAAAAGATAACTGGGTTTACCACTGACAAGTCTAGGCTGATAGGTACTTCAGTTATTTCTTGTAAACTCAGATTTGCTTCTTATCAAATGAAAGGCTTTGATCCAATGACACTCCCCAATTCTAGAATTCTGTAATAAAGTGGTTAATGACAGAGTCTGCTCCCACTGTAGCACTAGGTGATGAAGGCTTAAATGTTTAAACCAATGCCCAAAGGGAAAGCAAATCAAATTAGAAGACAGTAGACAGAAGACTCAACACAGCCCTTTGCACTGTTCAGTCTCACTAATGCCTCAACTTGTTATTTGCCCAGGACCAAAGATGTCACTTTCACTGGGTGAATGGTCCACTCCAGTCACACTGTTATCTTCAGTTAAGCTAGGTAGGACCACAGTCTGACAGGAACCTGTCTTTTGTCTGTAACCTGGACTAAGAAGACTGTTTTTGACCAGTAATCATGATTTCTATATGCTGTAGTTTTATTGCTGAAAAACACAACAAATCCCAAACCTAACTAACTCACTCTCCATTTCCTGGTCCAGGTATCTTGCTAGAATGGGCACAGATAGGTTTTGACACAGCAAGGTGATGAAACCCTGACTGACAATGAGGTCACTAGGTACCTGCGGTGAGATGCATAGTTCCCTGTGACATGGCCACTTCCATCGCATCCTGGTGTTGGACAGCTGGGTCAATAGAAAATTACATCACTAGAGTCAAGCACATTTCACAGATTCATTTGTTTGATAGCTTACAAAGTAGCTACTCTTTTCAAGATAAGTTAACACTGTTAAGACATGCAGAAGCTAGTACATTAAGGATTATATAGGTTTTTTTATATAAAAACCAGTAGACTAGCTAAAAGTAAAGTAAGAAACATAAACATGCCAAATTACTTCCTTAGTTATCCTTCCAATTCTCTGATTCAAATGATGTAGGAAAGCGATACTAACATGTTTGTCCAAGTGGTGTTACCAGTCAACAACCAATGCTGCTCTATTTCTTTGAAAATATAAATTTATAAAATAAACATTGTAAATTCATGCTCTATTGTGATAGCAAATCTTAGCAATATTGGTACTAATATGTGATAGATTACAATAAAGAATTTCTCTAGATTTTTAAGACCAAGGCAACCTGATAACTTCATAATCATCTTAAAAACCATCAACAGAAAGAGAAGAAAATCTTTGACTGAAATATAAACTGTTATTTTAGGTGAAAAACTTGCTGACAGTACAGAAATAAGCAAGAAGTTTATTTAGTACAGTTCACATGCAATTTTACCCAAAGCTGGAACCCAACAAAGGCAACCCCTAACTCCCATTCAGCCTAAGAACAGACTCCCAGGCCATCTGTCAGAGGCGCTCGGCAGATCTGTATGTCCATACTTCATTTCACCTCAGAAACTTGTCAAGTCTGGGCCTCTTATGTGTGTTTTACAAATAATGCAAGAAGGTAGTAATCCTTGGAAGTTTTTCTTTCATGGTTAGAGATTCCTTGGTGTCAATCATTTAGTTTCCACTGATGTGATTGATAAGACACTCATTTGGAGTGAGCGGATTGGCCCCAGCCTGCTCAGTGCTATTTGTGTCAAGAGTCAAAGGGAAATCAGTTAGGTCATCCATAGTGCATCTGATTGTCCCTGACATCCTACCCAAAAGGAGGCCTTATCTACTTATGTAGAACACAGACTCTAACCTTGTCAAGGTTAAATTTTGGGATAGAGTAACAACATCCTGATATTTCTGAATTGTCACTTTCTAAAAATACTTTCTTTTCCACTTTCCAATTATTTTCCAGGAACGTAAAGAAAACCTAAGCATAGACCTCTCAAAGTGACGCTGATTTTCAGAGCTTGATCTAAACTGAGTCATCTAGTCCTTCCCCCATCCCTTTTCCTGGATGGAACATCAGAAATAAAGTATAGATGTTAAATATTTATAACAAAGTAAAGAAGGAATTAACAGTGATTACATTTGGCCTGAGTTACCTTGCTAGTGCCATTCACCCATTAAATAGAGAAAAATATTCTCTGAACATTATATAGCTGTAATATTGAGAGGTGAGAGGGCTGTTTCAATTGTGTGGGAATTGCCACCTTGAAAATACACCACCACCTGGTGTTCCAAAAAAGCAATGCATGCGTTTTATTTTATTTTCATTTTTGTTTTGTTTATTAGTTGGTACTGGGGTTTGAACTCAGGGCCTTAGGCTTGCTAGGCAGCTGCTCTACCTCTGGAGCCACTCCACCAGCTCTTTCTTTCCATTTTCAATCACTCTCACTAACATTGCCAAAAAAGGCAAAGAAGGTGTAATAATTTTTAAACAATTATCTGTAAATTGCCTATGAACTTTAATAACATATAAATCTAGTCAGGTGACAAATTTTAAGTTTGGTGGTATAGAAAGATCAAAAAATAAAGAAGGAATTAATGACAACGTTATTGTGAGAAAAGTTTCTAGTTAGGATTCTGATAGCTAGATTTAATTCCAAGTCTACAGAAAAAAAAAAGTCTTACATAATAACATGTGCCAATACCAAGTGGGAGGTATATTTTGGGTAGGTTTACAGAGGAAAATGTCAAAATGAAAGGAAGGAAAGTAGCTGATTCCCTCAGCAAATGGCCCTTAAGCCCTATACAAACTATAGGGGAGTTGACAAAATTAAAAAATTCTCTTCTGATCAGTTTTTGGTAAGCAATTAATGTATAATTATCTGTTAGAAACACACTGTGAAATGTAATAAGGATGATAGGGACATTTGTACAAAATAGCTAACAAAGATACATATACATCAGTGATAGCCATCAAAACACTCATTCTGTCTGTGTCATGTGTGATCTGTAGAATCTCTCTGAGAGAGTTAACTTCCTAGGAAATCCTGATTACACAAAAACAAATTGTTCAAAGTCTTTGGGAACCTTTCTCTTTTTTATTTTATTTTATTCTCTTTATACTCATGAGCAGAGCTCACTACTCATTAAAATTATCACACTTCATTTTTCTGACCAAATATGGTGGATCGTCAATCTTTTACACAAATTTAGTTTGCAATAGCTTTTGGCAATTTCCAACAATCTGCCTTCAAAAAGTTAAAAAGTGCCTTGAAGGTATTAAAAAATACTGAATGGAAAGGAAGTCCACACAAAGATGAGCAAGCTCCAGGGGCACATGGGAATAAGGGTATGGCAACACCTAAGTGGCCTCTTGGAAAGGAGCAGGGTTTAGGTAAGTCAAGTTTGGGTATGTTTGGTACCATTGTTGGTGTCCACCACCCCAGGTGAACACTGAACTCACACAGCTGTGTGATGACTGAGCAGGAATGTTTGAACTCTTCCATAGAGAATTCAAGTCCAAGCTTACTTAAAAGCCACTTGTTTGTTAATCCAAGAAACTGTTGTTGAACTAGGAATTATTCTACTGAATGCCTAGACATATCATTCTGTGCAAGGTCCCATACTTGGCACCAGCATCTCAAATGTGGTCATTGTGCAGGTAGTTGGGGAAATAAGAAGCAGCACAGTGCATGTCATACACCAGTGGTGAGCAGGAAGTAGAGGACCAGAACTGAGGAAAGAGAGCACTTGTGTTCTCTGGGGCCTCATTCTCAGTGAAGGAGGCAGACAGTGGAGAACAGAGGGGAAGCCCACACCCGTGATAAACCCTGGTGAAGAAAAGACTTGGAAAGTGTGGTAGGAGTGTCAGGTCTGGGGATGAGGAACTGCAGGAGCAGGAAGGCATCTCTGGTAATTGACAATGGAGAGAGGAGCTTTGGGCAGAGAAAACAGCCAAGGGTGAGGCCCTGAGCAGGTGTGCTCCTGGTGTGCTTCAGAGGAAGCAATGGGAGGGAGAGAAGAGCAGGGAGTAAGGGAAAGGAGAACTCACTGCCTCCACGGGCTGCTGGAAGTGCCTGGAAGTCACAATTGGGGATGGCAGCCATAGTGCCTGCAGGTAGGAGGAGAGTTGAGAAGCCAGTCCCAGGACATTCCAGTCACTGAAGGGCTGGACCAGAGTCTAGGAAGGGTTTTACAGTGAGGCGGGAAAAGGCCCCCAGTGAGGAGGCCTAGGACTCAAGTGTGGATGGTGGATGGTAGACGAAGGGAAAGGGCATGATAGCTCTGTGGTATCTACTGCCCATAAAGCAGGAACCAGAGGATCAACATCCAGCATCCAGATCACAGGTGGTCACTGGAGAACTTAGCAGGTGACTGACAATGAAGGGTTCTCTGGGAAAGGAAGACTCAGGAGGGAAACTGATCCCATGCAAGTGACAACTTCCTCAAGTTTAAATGTAGTAAGAAATGGAGACAGAGCATCTATTTGGGAGCTAATTTAGGAGAGGCTTTAGTTTAATTTAGTTTAATTTTGCTGTACCTGAATGGAACCCAGGACACCCCCACCCCAGTATAACTAGGTAAGCGTGCTACCGCTTGAGTCATGCCCCAGTCCTTTTGTTTGTATTTTGCTTTTGAGACAAGGTCACACTAACTTCATCCTGTCTGGCCTCCACTTCTAGATCCTCCTGCCTCTGCCCCCAGCATAGCTGCGATTACAGATATGCATCACCACACCCAGCTAAATTTATTTTTAATGGGACAACATGTATTTTATGCAGAGGGATACAGAAGAGAGGGTGCAGGCACTGGTATCAAAGCAGAAAGGCTACTCTTTCCTGGAGACTCTCACCAACTGGCAGTTGTAAATGCATTTGTGTATGATTATATTTGATTAATATTTAATCATTTACACATGGAAAATAGTTTCCTGAATTTCATTCACTCACTCACTTACTCACTCATTTGTACATAACTAGTACTTACTGCCTTCAGGTATCCAGTTTATTATTTTTTAAGTTAACAGCTAGACATTGCTTATATTTAGTGAGCTACTGTGTTGTGGTTTGGATCTTAAATGTCCTCCAAAGGTCACGTGATGAAGGCTTGGTCACTAGCCCATGGTGCTATTGAGAAGAGGTGGACTCATTAGGAGGCAGATCCACTGGAGGTGTGCCCTTGGAGGAGATAGTGGGATCCCTGCCCCTCCTTTTTCTCTCCTTTGCTTCCTGAACATCAAGAGGTGAGCGTCTCCTCTGCCATTTGCTGCCCACCACGATGTGCTGCCTTTCTCGTACTCCAGCAGAGATCCAGAGGCAGCAAAGCCAAGTGACCATGGACTGACACCTCTGAAACCACGGGCCAGAACAAATCCTGCTTCCTATAAGCTGATTACCTCAGGTATTTCATGACTAATACAGAGGTACAATGAGATGCTTTGATACATGTATACATGGTATAGGGGTTAAATTGGTCAAAGGACCCCCCTGAGGATGTAATGAAAACCACTCCCTGCCTCACCGGAGTCACCGTTTACAGAGATTACAAGGTTAGTAGACTTCCCGAAGCTTTAGATTCCCTGGGCTTAGTGGATCTCAAGTTGAGAATTTTGGGTCCAAACATAAGCTTCTCTAATTGCACCATCTTATTTTGCTTTTTAATTAACTGATTTTCTGTCTCTTTGCCTAAGACATGCACATTTTTAAAAATGCATAGGTTTAAGTTTATGTTGAACATATAACTATTGACTAGTTGAAATTGTCCTAAAACAGCCCTAAAGTCAAGTGTATAAGCCAGGACATCATAACCCAAAATTGTGAACTTGAGTCCCTCCATTCTAGAATTTTAGTGGGCATGGCATTGGATATCACTTACGTGATTAGTTCTTTTTTGAGATCTCTTGCATGGAGCTTGGGTTTAGGACTTGGTATAGAGGCCTCTCCAGGAAACTTTTTTTCCTCTAAATTTTCTAGAGTGTTTACTGGGTCTTTCTGGAAAAACAAAATACACACACACACACACACACAGAAACCATTAGGTAACCCTGAAAAGACAATTGGATTTCAAGTCAGTGGAGTCAACTTTGAGTTTCAGCTTAAAGATCTAGCTGTAATACCACAAAGGATTTGTATAAGAAACAAGTGAGCTAATTAATATAAAAGGTATGTCCTGATTGCTATGGATCTTTATCTTAAGTAAAGAATGAGGAATTATAACTGAGAGCAAACACCTTTAAAAGGGTCACATTTTAGCAAGTGAATTATAGAGACATTTCTTGAACTATGCAATTAGGTTAATATGTTAGTGTGTTTCCAGCTTTAAAATACAGTAAACACTTTCTAGATACCCAGAAACTTTACAAGTCCAGCAGTCACAACAGCTGAAAACCAAAGGAATACTGCAAAACTGAAATTAAACATAGTTGCAACAGAAGAGAAATAAATGTGTTGATTAACAGAAGGTTCATTCCAATAAATAATAATTAAAGTCTAAATTATTTATTTAAATATGTAATAGCTAAGGCCACTGTAGTAGACATTTAATTTCACTTTTCTGGATAATTGTTCTTATCATCACTTCTTGTTTTTCCTTTCTTTTTTGCTAAGTTGGTATCTTATACTGCTCTTATTCCTTGGATGGACTTTCTTATTGGATGTTAGTAACTTTCATGGTCTTTTAAGCTTAATATTGATTTTGGTCTCTTAAGGAAGACTGACTAATTTTTGCAAGTCAATTATTTACCAAGTGATATATTATCTCACAGAAGACTAATAATGGTTTCCCTCAATTGCATACTAAGCTTTCTTTCATCATTATGATTATATCCAGTAAATAAAATACTTTCTGGATTTAATATTAAAATCAAATGAATTAATATAGAAATCTGTATTCTAAATCATGAAAGTTCTGATCTGTTTAAGGTGAGTAAACTATTTTTAATTTTCCAAAATAAAACTCATTTAAATTAAATGGATATAGAAATGTCACAGCATAATAAGATTTTAATAATTCCAAGTCTGCATTCAAAAACAAGGTAGAAATCCTGAATTCTTTCAACCAAAGAAAAATCTTAAACAGCTATCCTGTTAATAAGGCAACTGTAATTTCTTTTATTCATTACATAGATAACAATTCAATTATTTTACATGAGTGTTTTGTAGTAACTGTATTGGTGAACTATCTCAAATGATTATTTTTACACCAAATGAGTAGAACCCGGTTTGGTATAATTTCCTTCTTCATATTGTTTTTGGTGCTAAATATTTCATGCTATTTTACTAGTAAATAAAATAGTAGCTGATAAAAATATGCCATTTGAAGGAAAGAGTAATAATAGTCCATCCTACATCAACATAGAGAGTAATCATCATCATAAGATGGAAAGAGAAGGGCTATTTTTATGCTGCTTCCATGGACTCTATAGCAAGACAGATGACTGAAGCTTATAGTTTTAAAGTTTTATAGTACAAATGGCTGAAGTAAAATAATTCCTAACTTTAAAGCCTTAAACCTGCTCGTTCCATCATCCACTCCAGTTTGGGACCATCTGGATTTGGGTAGTAATTTCCATTTGAATTTGGAAATGTCTTGGCTTTTTGAAAGAAGATGCAAAAGGTAAATCCAGTATCATCTCAGTGTGGATTAGTGATTGGGTATCTATTTAGATGCTAAATTTTTCACAAAATGGCATGAAGTAAAAAAGTCATTTCATTATTTTCCTTATGAGAAAGCTAAGAGTAAAGTCACTCTAAGGAGGAATGCATATTTAGAGAGGAACATTCCAAGTTTCCAGCTACTATTTGAGGGCTGAATCTCTCCATTATGGAAAGCAAATGGGGGATTTGAAAGAAATTATTGACTATGAAAGTTTAAATTATTATTTAACTAAAATGCATACCAAATAGTTCTGGCAGGATATATGGTATCTAATTTGGTATAATATGATGTAGTGATGTTTTAACAGCACTTTTTTGGTGATTCCCTTAGAGACTTGCAGAGAAGAGTGTATGTCTTAAAATAAAGGTGGCCATTGCTAAAGAATTCTTGGATTGGTTCTTTGACAAAAGCATTTTATATTGGATAAATTCCTAAATGGCATCCAGTGTAGAAAAACTCAATAGCATTTGTAAGAATTTTTTCCAACATTTAAAGTATCATTTTGGAAATAAAAATTTTAGCCTGTACATGATGTGTAAGAGAGAACGTGACATATATATGTGTGTTCAGGATGTCTATGTGTGCATTGAAATTCTTTAATGTACAGATGGAAGTTTATATCGATTTCAGTAAAGACCAGAACATAATGGTAACACGAATAACAGATAATAGCATCTGGCACTTTTAACATTTTAAGCCCTGAAATCTTTGGAGAACTGACAGTTGAATGAAGCTGACAGCCCTAGTTATTTTTCAGTACTTTCCTTTCGAGATAATTTGAGTTTTTTCCAGATTTGGGACTCTTTTTTTTAGGGGGCATCTGGACAGGCTATTTCACTGAGAGAGACAGACAATATTTTCTGAAAATTACCACCAAAATTAAGCAACTGTTGTGCATATGAGCTAGATAACAATGAATTAGAAATAATCACTTGATTTCTGGTGCTGGGAGTTCCATGTGTGGGGTGGGGGCAAAGGGCAGGACAGGCATGGGAACAGAACAGACCACGTTCAGGCATCTAAACACTCAAGTTATATTGCCAGGGCTACATGCAGAGATTACAGGACAGCTCACTAGAGGGTGACAAAAACAAGCCAGTCCTGTATCTGGTTTCTGTGGTCACATCGAGGAGAACTTCATGGACTTTGGTCCTGCATCCTTGCAGGCACCTGAGACAACAGTGCTTCCAACTCACCTTGCCACACACCAACCCTTCATTCTTCTTTATTCTTTCTAATTTTTCTTAATATTCCATAAGCCATCTCTATTTTTTCTTTTCCTTCTCTCCATGTTTCCCCCTTTCCTTTTTCTTTGTTTAAAGCAATTCCAGTCCCATTACTTAATTTCTATATGATAGGAACCAACAACTGAACCTCTCTGAGGATCAATATTCTCCTCTAAAAATATGATAGTCTTGTTGGGATACTGAGATGCTGTGCACAAAGATTCCTTCTTTTTTTAATACTTTGGTGTCCCTACCTTTTCAATGAGGACATTGAATACAATGTAGTTTTTCAAATAATACCCATTAAACTTACATTTGTCATATTCAAGATGCAGAACAAGATGTGCAAAATGCTCTCTGTTTATAGGTTACCATAGCACAGAAGAGGGAACAAAGCATGAGGGTAAGAAACTGCATCAGGGATTTGTAATGACTCAGATGCATTTTTGTGTGTCCCCACCAAACACAGCTTCCCCAAGCCATGAGTCACCCCGTGCAGATAGCCGTGACAATAAGCATTTACTTTTAAAAATATTTTGTCAACTCAAACTTAGGGCAAGCAGTTTGAGTCCAAAAACACACTTAACATTAAAGTCCGTGTTGTCCCTGTCAGTGGCACTGGATTCCAACGCAGCTTCTAAATTCCAGAGCTCAGAATACTCAGGTTGAAAAATCACAGAATTAACGACTGTCCTGTGAGACCCAAAGTAAGTCTAAAGCAGCCCTCTGCTCACGTGCATGTGTGCGTGCACATGCCTGTGGGTGCGTGAGTTTGCAGGGAAATAAAACACTGCCACAAATCTGTACGCATTAGGTAAAAATATACTCTGGTTGAATCTATAATGTTGCCAAGATGAATCAAGATTTTTTGGAAGTATGCAAAAAAAGAGACTGGAAAATAAAGGTAAAATTTTGCTATAAGAATTATTTTCTGACTTTCTTGATGATGGGAGTACCAGAATATAAAGGGGGCAATGTTGACATTGTGACTGAGGGCACAACAGTAAAATGAATGACAAGAAACACTAGTACCCAACAGGAAAAGGAGAACCCACCTGAGGCACGTTTGCTTCACTACTGCTCAGGATCGGATCCCTCTGTCTGACACTGGGTATGAGTACTGAAGATGATTTCTGGTGAATGCATTGATCAAGGTCCATTTACAACAGAGTCACATAGACGAGGACTGAAAGTGTAGCTGCCACTCAGCACGTGGCATTGAGATATTAGAACACATTGGAATTTTGACCCTGCATAATTCATGCAAGAAAGGGATGCAGTGACTATATGACTTTGTAAAGCACCGTCTTCTTTACTCAACTCAAATCTCACGTGCAGGGTGAAGTGTCTCTTTTGGGGAGAGGTGCCATGTGCCATGCTTAGACTGGCCATCCGCTGGCTGGAGATTAAACAGCTTTGAGAGTTGGAGGGTATCTCCCTTTTCTAAAGCCAGCTTGTGTGATGTGGGATTGAACCAACAATCCTGACCTCACTGTGATCGTGTCTCCCAGTGACCTACGTGCTTCCTAGCTTGCTTCATTTCAGACAAGAATGACCAAAGAATGTGAGTATTGATGAATTTCTAGATTGTACACATAGATGGAAGTCAGGTGCAACTCAGGTTCTTTTGCTTGAGCCTGTGATGTGTTGTGGTAGGCAGGAGATACACCTTTGTGGTCATTGCTTAGGTAAATGACCTTCCTGCACTTTGCAGATGCCAAACATGTATCATTTTAATAAACATTTCTTCTAAAATGCAGCTTGAGCAATCCTAATCTGAAAATCCAAAATGATCACCCTCAATTTTTTTGATTTTTATAGCATTTCAGGTTTCAGATTTTTGGATTAAAGGTGCTCAACCAGTAAAGTCTATATAAATATTTCAAAATCTGAGAAACTCCAAAATCTGATGCACTTCTGGTTCCCAGCATTTCAGATAAGGGATACTCAACATGTTTGTATTATGATAGATCAATTAAAGTCACCTCTACATACTTTTGAGATGAAATTTTAGAATTTGAAAAAGCCAAGTAGAATATAGTGACTAAAGCCAGCAGGGTACAATCTAACCAAATGCTGCTGTAGTGTGACTCTCTTCATTCACTACCTGAAAGCATGGATGGTGGTGACACAAAGGTGGCCTTGAATCCTAGGGTTGGGGTTTCTCCTGGGCATCCATCCTGACTACCCCATGCAGAGTTATCCATTCCTTCCTCTGCACATTGAGTGCCTGCTTGTCCTCTCTCTCTCTTCATTTTTTTTTTTTTGAGACAGGGAATCACTATGTAGCTCTGGCTAACCTCAAACTCACAATCGTCCTGCCCCAGCCTCTCTAGTGCTGGGATTAGAGGCGTGTACCACCACACGTGGCTACATGCTCTCTCTTTACCTGCATTGTTTGGTTACAGGTGAGTCCCCCTGCCAGACTCTGAGCACATGTGAAGCTGAGGTGCATATACATGGTGGAAGCATGTCTTGTTTGTCACAGCATCTCAGGACCAACTCATTGCTTAAACTTGGAGAAAACAGAGAAGGTATGTGGAAGGAAGGGAGAAAAGAAGGAGGGGAGAAGGAAGGAGGGGCTTGGAAACAACCCAATCCTGTGCTCACTACGGTGTAAATCAACTCACACTCTGAGGTGTTAAAGCAAAAGCTCAAATTAGATCCCCCCAAGTATGTGAACTTGAAAAAGGTGAAAAAGATGGTGCAGATTTCTACAGAGAACTGACATTTCAGTCCTTTAAACATACTGACTTTTCTCATAAAGAGCAAGATAGGATCACTCACTGAAAAAATCAGGGTCACAGCTGCAGTTATGTAAAGATTAAACAGTGGGAGTTCTAGCTCTGAAGTCTTTTAATGGACACTAAGTAATCTAACACTAATGACTAATCTAACACTAATCAGGTCAAGCCAGGTGGCTCGTGTATGGAGATGAAGGCTAGATGGGTAACTGCCCATCACAACAGCCTCCAAGAAAAGCAAAGCACAAATATGTCTCATTGACTTTGGGACCCATACAACTTAGATATCCAACATTCATGATCCAATACCTCAAACAACAATTCTATACATAGGTATGCCTACATAGCTCCTTCCCAAAATCAAAGACATGGATTTGACAGGATTCCAAGATTCTTACTTGTCCCTGATTGGATTTCATCTTCAAGCCTCTGGTTCAGACAGAATTAGGGAGCTGGCATTTCAGTGCTGGGAGATGCATCACCCCTTACAGGCTGCTGTGTGAAGGGACAGATAATAGAATCTCTCGCACAGTGCAGACAATTGCCACCATTGTGGGGACAAAATTCAGTATAATAATCTTAGGCAAGTGACAGGAAAAGGTGGGTTCATTTATAAATTGTCCAAAATTTAAGAGCATTGCTTTATCAAAATCTATAACAAGGTACAAGATTATGTATCATGGAAACAGGAATGCGAAATATAACTTAGGAGGAAAAAACTAGTTATACTGTGTAATCCCACTTCATTGTCAGCTTATTGACGGACACATTGAGACAATACCTCTTTTTCCTCCTCTGTCTTCCCATGGGTTTTGCTATAGTTGATAGGAGTGTCCCAGCCCTCTTGGTCACAGAGAGCCTGATAGAATGCTGCATTGACCAGAATGCTGCTTGTTTTGAATGGGGAAGAGGAAGGTGTTGGAATGGTAGTGTTAGAGGAAGTTAGGGGTGCAGACTTGTCCAGGATTCGAGTTTTTTTCATGCTTAAGTCCAATGTGCCATTTTCATCCACTTTATCTCGGCTCCCTGGTATACAACAGGAAACAGAAAAACATTTAAGCAGTTTGAAATTATAGCCTAACCATGCAGGGCTTTTAAGGGATAATTTTAAATGTAAGCTTTTATGGAAGTATATCTGCTTTTAAATCTAGCCTTCTGATTTGCTTTGGGGAATATTCAATTCTTAGGCAGACTTTTAAGAACAAGCCCATTAGTGAGCATCATGTTTCTGGGTTTAAACAAAACAAGCTTAATATAAATAAGATGTTCTAAATACTAAATGTATTGGCTAAAATTGTTTTCCATATGCATATATTTTTAAAATTTACCTTTAAATCTTTTCTACTTTACAGAATTATCACTCAAAGTTCGTCATTTAAAACATTAACATTTGTGTTTATCAAAAAGGCACACATAATTTCCCAACCCCCCAAATCACAATAGTAATCTAACATGAGAAATATGCAAACACTACCAGTTGGAAGAGAATTTTTATTGGAATATTAGACTAATACAAAGCAACATTTCACCCTGGGTTACCTGCACTAGAGAAAGCTTTGTTCGATGGTGCAGGGTGAGCAGGAGTGAGGGCAGACAGTGCAAACCATACTCTACCCTGGGGGCCTTCAGGATAGCAGTGACAGACTAAGTGTTGGGGTTTAAGCTTTATAATGAAGACTTCAGAATAAAGATGTTATTTTCCAGATACACAGCATAAAACTAAAACTAATGCTATCTCTCAATCTTCCTCCTTGAGATACCTTTTGCCAAATTTTATAGATTATTTATTTTTAAATTTATTTATTTATTTATTTTGGAGACAAGGTTGTGTAGCCCAAACTGCCTAGAACCTGTGATCTTCTTGCCTCAGCCTCCTGAGTGCTGGAACCACAGGTATGCATTGCTACACTCGGTCCTATTGTTTATTTTTTAAGCATCTCATTCTATATTTGGCTCAATTTCTAATACACTGCTTGTGTGGTCTGGATATTGTTCAAGACTTGCACTGCAGAGTGACTCACAAAGAGTCCTGAACAGTAAGCATTGTCATGTCATGGCTTTCTGAAGCGGGAAGAACATGCCTGTCAAACAACACCTTTCTGGTGCTTTCATCACTATCCATCAATTCATAACTAACTTCTTGACAATTTCTTTACTGTTTTTCCTTTTGATTGGCAAAACAGAAGTCTTCTATAGTATATCAGAAGATCCCTAACTCCCATGGCAACTGGTGACTTCCTAGATGTATTTTAACTCCCTGTCCATATGTCCTTCCCTCTGCAGTCACCTCTGAGCCCTGGCCTGCACTGGCTGAACTTGCTGCTTGGATCTGATTGAAAAAAATAAAAGTATCTCTTCTATTCTCTTGTTTTACCTGCAGAGTTCACATTTTCAAGCTCTCAGCCTACCAGCTAGATATGCTGCATTGCATTCCTGGGGGGTAAATACACTTCTAATATGCTGTACTAAGACGCTTTGCCATATCTTTCTGTCCCCTTTTAGTAAATAGTTTAATCTCCTGTGATAGTTTTAAGCTCTGAATTTGACAGTACAGCTTATCTGGGATAATAACGTAGTAACCACAACATCTTATGCCATCTGTATAATATCAAATACATTTTTATACCAGCATTAATAAACCTTAGTTACAAAAATCCAAGATATTAACCATGTCAGTGCCACAGGCTCTCTTCATGATCTGACAATGTATTCTGCCAGTCATGCATCAAAGCAATTTTTGACTTTATAGCTGATATGTAACTATAGCAATGAAACAGAGCTACAGTAATCAAGTTTAATGGCCAACGTAAAGTAAAATGCTAAATATTGTAGTTGCTGACATTTTTTCATTAAAAAAAAAAAACTTGGGTTAAGACTGCACAACCAACATTCACATAAAATTCCAGACCTCTGTGACAGATGGCTTAGGAAAAAAAAGCCACGTGACTGGGCTGCAGAGTTTTATAGTGCAAAACCCATAAATAGCACAGATTCAAGCTCTATGAAAAATAGCAACTATTCCAAGACAACACTCATATATATTTTAATTTTTACAGAAAAAATCCAAACTGTAAATTAAGAAAATGAGAGAGTCTAGGGGTTGTTATGATTATACATCTTGAGTAATCAAGGCTTGATTGAAAAAAAAAATCACTGACAATGTTTGAAAGAAGCGCTTTTCTATCTCCTACCCAGCCGGCTGTGCTGAGCACCTGACTTCAACGGAGGGAGTGGGCTGCACGTTGGGGATGGAGTACAGATGGGCTTTAAGTCAGCACACAGATGCATTCAACAATTACACACAGTAACAGGGAAGAGGGCTTTCTCTTTCTGCCCGTGGATGGGGACCACGCATTTGAAGCACGGATGCTTATTTAGAACAGCACCAAGTAGATATCCCTTCTCCGTGACTCAGTCTGAGAATGGCTGCACAAAAATAAAGGGGGTGAGCCAGGTGCCAGTGGCTCATGCCTGTAATCTCAGCTTTTCAGGAGACAGTGATCAGGAGGAGGATGGAGGTTTGAAGCCAGCCTGAGCAAATAATCTGTGAGACTTTTTCTTGAAAATATCTAATTCAAAAAGGGCTGGTGGAGTGGCTCAAGTGGTACCGCACCTGCCTAGCAAGCATAAGGCCCTGAGTTCAAACCCCAATACCACCAAAAGAGGAAAGTGGTGGGAGAGGTCAGCGAGGGTCCTTGTCCAGAGTTGTAGCTGACTTGATGTGGCTCGTCCACTCTAATATTTTGATTTCTCAAAGTGCTATTTGCTATCTGTATTTGAAATATTTACATTCAAATTTTAAGTTTTCTTGGAGCTAGGCATAAGTCTAATCCTATTTGTGTACTTCCTAACCTAGGAGGCTTCTGGAAGGCTATCTGTTTCAGTTATCCATTGTAGGTGCCACAGCTGCACTCATTAAGCTGTTGAGAAAGCACTTGATATGCTCATGAAACTGTATCTTGGGGGAAAGAGAAATCGAAAAATAGTTTGTTCCTGCATTCAAGGAGCTTATTTTATGCACATAGATTTTTACTGAACAGTAATTTAATAAATACAATATAAATGACTTTTAAATTGAAAGTTGAAGGAAGTATTGATTGTAATTTTTATCTGTACTATAAAATAAGTAGTGATGTATTTGTCCAATGACAGAGAAATGATTAATGAAACTGTGGTATGTCTATTAAATGGAACATTATGTGGTCAGTGAAATGGGGTTCTGAGAACTGAGAAACAAGCAATATGGAAAATCCTTCATAACCTGAGACAGGAAGCAGCATGGCCTTCCTGCTGTGCTCACAAGTATGGAAAAGCACACAAATTTTTGCATTTAGAGAACACACTTATAGCTGTTTTCCTCCATTATCTTCCAGGAAAATAATAACTATTAATATAATTTAATATTATTAATTTAAATTAATTAGCAATCAAAAATTAAACATTCAAAGATGGTAATGATGTAAAAATTATACTTCTTCTTTAAATGTTATGACTATGAAAATGACCAGCTTTCACAGCAGTGATAAGATGTCACTGCCTTCCTTCCTCTGCAGGCTTCCTACTGATCCAGGACAGGATCAGCCAGCCTTCTCTTTACACTCTGCCCAGAGGCAGTGCAAACCATGTGTCCCTCCATCCGGGTGGCCATTATGATTTGCTCTGGGCTCCTCTCATAGAGCATGTTCCTTCATTTCTGCTTCCAGATTTTTGTTTAGAGACTATCTTTTCTGTTATGAAAACTATCTTAAATATGTTTTCAAAGTATGCAGGGTATTAATAAACAAATGGAATGAATATTTTATTCTTTCTCAATAGGAATTAAGTGTTACGACTTAAGATGGTAAACTTGTGGAATATAGTTTATAAACTAGAATGCAGGAGTACAGAGAAGAAATGACTAATATAAGGCATAAAATTCAAATGAAATTTAGAACTACTTTCCCCAAATCCTCAGGACTTGCAATCATGGTCTTTGGAGCACTTTGTGCTGATGGACTATGTGCTATGGGGTCTTTAAGAGAAGTCAAATGGTTGCAAGTTCAAATTTCAGTTCCAACAAGATAGCTGTGCCACTCAGAGAGAACCACTCACTATCTCTGTAGTACTGCTTCTTCCTCTGTCAAAAGGGGACTGTTACCTACATTGTAGAATGCCTAGAGGGATTAAGAAGGATTCCTGTGGGAGTGTTCCTGAGCAGTGGCTAAGAACGCCTGCATATCTAATTCCGTTACACGTAGGCAATCAGTTCCTCATGATCCCTGACTCCAGGCCCTCATCATGTCTTGCTTACAGTGTACAGCACAATGTGTCCTGCTGTTAAGGAGAAGACTGCTTTTGGGTTCTAACCATCCAGGGCCACCCGGCTGTTTCTGACAACAAGCGGCAAGAACGGCACTGCACCATCACGTGTTTCTAGGCCTTGTTCAAACACAAAACAGACTTTGAACTTTAAACATTTTAAGCAAGTGTCAATTTTTTGTTTTCTTTTAAGGCATACTGTGCATATGTCATTTTGTCTAAACAGGTGGGGAAAACACCAAAACAAACAGCAGAATGCTTGGCAAGCAGCAGTGATGAGGATAAAGATAGACTGAGAAGCACGCTCCTACCTCTGTCGATCAGGGCAGAAGGAAGGAGGAAAAATAGGGCGAGCCTCTGAATCGGACTGGCATAATATTCAAGGGGTGCTGGAGGAATGTGATCAGCACATCTGGGATGCCTGTCCCTGACCACGTGCACCTCGGCTGGGCTCTTGTCAGGAGCCAGTGGCTGGGCAAAAGGGCCTTGAGGTGTTTGGAGCTGGGGCCTGTTTCACAACTCCTATCAATCCCTGATAAAGTGGAGGACGTGATACACATCTTAGTACCAATGAAAGCACTCGAATCAAAAGAGAGCTAATATTTCAAACAAAATTATCCTTGATCACTATAATAGTAACTAAGATTTTAAAATACTAATTGTTTTCTCCTGGCTTGATTCCTTGAAGAGATACTTAAAACCTACACAGGGGGTTTTGGTGGTGTCATTGTGTCAGGCACAGGCCAGATGGTATTTTAACAAATAAATAATTCCTTTTAAAATCTACTTTCAGAATGTGATAGACTCTGGCTTGAGAAGTGACCAGCAGCGTTGGAAAAGCATGGCTATCCCTCATGGTCGTGAGCTGTGCACCTGGCGCTGGCTGTGTGAGCCCACAAGAGTGTGTGTGGCAGGATGAGCCTTCAGCACTGGGGCGAGGGGACATGGGAGTGGAGTCTGGCACATGGGGCTGAGAGCTTCATGAGAAGAATCTTCTAGAATATCCATAGGGCTTTTCCGTGTTCTTAGACTGATAGGAACGTGGTTTTCTTGATCTACTGAAACCACCTCAGCTTTGTGATCTTCCCTAAGAACAGTGACTTTGCAAATCACTAATTCAGATCTCCCACTGAACTTGGAGCCAGCTGTGTGCATGCAAATAGCAGGAAACAATCTGTATGAGCCCCAACAAATGGCTGTGGAAGCAATTCCAAGGTTAGGGTGGTTTAAGGTCAGGGTGGTTTTAGCTTGTGCCCATAGGTGACTGTATGGACTCTAATTCATTCTCCCATAGGGACATGTCCACATGAAAGGACTGGATGGGAGCAAAGGGAAAAGCAGGGATCAGTGGCTACCCATGCCTATCCTTAGAGCAGGCTCTGAGGCTGAGTCTAACCTGTGGTTGGGGCAGTTCAGCACTGAGAGACCATTTAGTTGGAAGAGCTCTGAGTCCATCTGCCAGGATATCCTATGATACATCAAGGGTGCTCAGCCACAGAAGTACTAAGTGCGGAAAAGCTGTGCTCCTATTCAGTTCTAATGAGAAGCTCAAGAGGTCTATGGATTTGGGCCATCTGAAATAAGCATAATGACAACACAACATGGAGAAAAAAGGGAATCTAGTGGGGAAAGGAAAGGGGCAACGTTTGGTGAAGTGAGGGGAGAAAAGGCACAAGGCGAAGCTGGCACTGGCACTGACTGCAGCAGAGCCTGAAACTGACCCCAGCACGACTGAAACAAGCTAACTAAAAACCCAAAATAAAAACAAACACAAAAAACCCCCAGGATCCAACCAGGACAGAGTCTTACAAAACTGTTACACTTGTGAGCAACTGTGTGACTGCATGTATGCGATGACAGAAGGATTCTGCATAGTGACTTGGTAGGGTCCCTTAGTTAGTCTGTCTGAACAACTATTGTGTGAAGACATTTCCACAGGACAATGGGTTTTCAGCTTCTTTCAGGAGTTGATCTGTACCCTTTCTATCTCCTCCATCCTCCTCATGGATTCTCTGGTTTGCCTTCTGCAGGGAAGGCTTGGTGGTGGTGGTGGTGGGGTGGGGGTGGGATGTGAGGATCTAGGGACTCAGAACACTTCCTGTTGCCCTGGCACACCAAGTCTGCTCTGGAGAGCTACATTGTCACAAGGAATGGATGAAAAATACCTTAGAAAGCAATTACTTGAATTTTTGAAATGTGCTGATCAAACAGTCATGGTATTTTTAAGAGAGAATATGTATTGATAAAGAAAAAGAAACCCTTCAAATTTTAGTCACTTTTCTTTATCACTTGCTTGACGTCAGCAATTTAATGGCACATGGAGAATCTTAAGGTGAAAGGCAGAATTCTGAGGATCAGAGAAACATCTGCCTGTGTAGATGGATGACACTTACTTTCTCCCCATTACAGTACTTTAAGTAGTAAGAGTAGCTATAATATTGGTACTTTTATTCCCACAGGACAGCCTAAATGATCAAATAATAAAGCACTAGGAAGGAAGATATTTTAGCATTTAGTAGCCCCATGCTTATTAGAATTTCCTTTAAAAAGGAGAAATTTATTCAGGTTTTAAAATATGAATTTAAAAATAAAGTTGCAAAAATAGACTAAAAAAAATAAAGTTGCATTTTAAAATTCACCGAATCATTCACCTGTGGCAATAATTTGTGACTGGGATTCCTTTGGTGTTTTATATACACATATATATTTAGAGGATGTGTTTTTCTTTGTCTAAGAAACTTACTTGTTTAAAAATTGTTTTTGAGTGTTTTTTGGCTACTAACTCTTCCTGGGGTTTTCTTGGCTCTGCTTTGTGCAGAAGCTAATTTTGATTCTTCTGTCAAATGCTCTGTGGCACTGTGTTACCTGCTCTCCTGAAGGCCTGGCACCGTGCAGGCGAGCAGCTGACCACACTGGGACAGGCTGTTCTTAAGGGGGAAAAAAGAGCCTGGGCTTTCTTTGCCTGGATTTAAGGGATCCAGTTTGACCTGGCACTGTTTCATTTGAAGGAAGGGTAAAATCTGCTATCAAATAAGTCTGGTCTCTCTACTTAGGCTGGCTTCAGTCCTCTACATAGGGAAATAATTTCTTTTAAATGAAGCCCTTTTAGTGAATAGGAGCTTCCAGCTCCTGGGGAGAAAAGGGCTGAGCCCTTACAGCCTCCTATGTGGACCACCAGGTCTCCAGCAGGACAGGCCCCTTGCTGGCAAAAGGGCAAGGTGTGGGGATGTTTGTGTGTGTTCATCAAGTCTCCACCACCGTGGACTGTACTTCTCGCAGGTGGAAAGGAGAGGCTACAGAAAACATGGCATTGATTTCATGGACTTAGGAAACCTACTGTGTTTATAAAGGTCATGGAATTTGATTTTGCACTTAAACACACCATGTCCTCAAAGCTCCCTGAACCATCAGTGGATTTGCTGTATCAGGGTTTTCCTATGTGTCCTAAAAACACTGTGGCCACTTATGCTATCTTAAATCACACACGGTACCATGAAGTATGTAAGTTCCTGGGTCAGCTTTGCAGATGCTTTGCCTGTCATCATTTAAGCAAACATTTATCATCTTTGATTTGCAGAATCAAAGCTTCCATGGTGGAGATATATTTTAACAGCAAGCTTCTTCTTTTTTTTTTTTTGTACACCAAACTCCCCATAACAAGACTAGCTTTGAAATCTATAAATTCACCTCCACCAGGCTCCCTAACTCACTGCTCCCCCAAACTCTGGCATACCACTTTAAGAAGTGGCATTGACCAAGATACACAAGCTTTCTTCTTGGGACCCTTGGAACTCATCTCTGCCTGTGTTCCTCTTCTGAGGACAGGGAGGGGCTGCTTCAGGGGTGGGGAGCCCAGTGGCTGTGAATGCAGTTGGGAACATGAAAGGCAGTTGATTCTCACGGTTCAGTCGCTGGCCCACCCTCCGGGCTCTTGGACGGACATACCTTGGCATGCAGGCTCTGTGGTTTGTTGGAGAGGATGTCTGCAGCTTCCCTGCAGCGGGTGGAAAGGTTCAGGATGGCAGCAGCTGCTGCTATGTGGGTGTCTTCCCTGCACTGACCGTAGCTATAGGAGCTGGCACGGCTTGGGCTCTGTGTGTGGGCGCCTGCACTAGGCAGTCGATTAGGAAATTTCACTGGGTTTGAAAAATGCTTTGCTGTTGAAAAGAGATTTGATTACCAATTGGGTGTATGTGGTTTTAGTCATTAAATAGATTTGTTTTTAAAGACATAACTTCTTGCATTAAAATATGTGAAGAATAAATTAGAGCACAAACCATTATCCATTGGTATGTTAAACACATGAAAGTTATTCAGATGGGTTTTCAGGGAGGTTCACAGATCAAATGATGTGACTGCTGGGAAAGAGTGTCTATTCCTTGAATAGTTTTTGTATTTACACTTCTTATGACAAAAACTCCAGAAATAGTGTTATGGGGGCAGGTGCACTGGCATTTGTGCAAAAATTGTAGATAAAATACGCACACACCATCAAAAGCCATCAGGGACCACAGGGAGCTTAGGGCAAGTGCATGGAAAAACTGCATGTGTGTAGGACTTGTAATCTTGGAACAGAAATAATGTGTCCTTTCCAGTGGTTGTTTTACAACCATTTATATGTAGACACAGAATTTATCCTTAGATACAGAACTGTATTTTTTATTACTTGATGTACAGGTTTGTTCTGTACTTAAAATCTTTGTTTTTCATCTAAACACATGGAACTAAGTGGACGGTGCATGGAACTAGTGAGCTAGCATTTGCATATTCTGGGAAGGGAGATAGCCAAGGCCAGTGAGGAAATGTTCTCAAGTGAACAGAAAAGTGGCTTAGTCACCAAAGTCCAGCTCGAGTTTTATGCTTCCGTTGTGGGCGCCAAGGCATTGCTGAGGGACAGAATTACAAATTTCTCTTCACAGTGCCATATTTGTAAGCATCACTCAAGGTTATGGGAGTAACTCCCAACGTTTAATGAGGCTGATATAAAAGCTCTTTAGCTATTTGTTTTGCATTAAATATTTATTTTAAATGTCTGACTATTTTTCATAAAACAAAACTAAGAATATTACTGAATAGTATTTCCATATTCATAATTATAAGAACATAAAATATCACTGAATGTTTTGCATTTTTAAATATCAATGTGCATGCTGTATGAATATATGGAATGCTCTTATTTACTGGCTCCACCTAAAACAAACATATGTACATGTCTATATAATAAAATTATGTATCTATACAAAATTGTATAAATAGACATTGTGTGTGCATGTAAATTTTTTTTCTGAATCAATCAAGTTGTTAGTGGTTATTTATATTGGCTGAGACCTATTTTGGCCAAAACCAGGTAGAATATCTTTTAAATGTAATATATTTCTCACTAATCCACAAACTCTTTTTTTTTTTTCAATCTTTTTGTTTGTTTGTTTATTTATTCACATGTGCATACATTGTTTGGGTCATTTCTCCACCCACAAACTCTTTTTAAGTCTGTTTTTTTTAGGGAGTGGGCAGTTGGTACTGAAGACAGAATCCAGGACTGAGCAAGTGCTCTATCACTGAGCTACATCCCCAGCCCTACTGCTGGGTTTTATGCAGTCTTCCAGTTCTCTGCAAGTGTGGATCAACATGACATAATGAAGCAAATATTTTGTGCTTATAAGAGTACTGAAACTAGTCAAAGGTATAAGAGATTTCATGGGTTTGTAAAGTCATAAAAAGTTCATGTCCACGGAGGACTCCAAGTAAGCGATTACTTAACTTGTTTCTTAACGGAAGGTAAGTTTCTGTAACACAGGCGTCATTCTCTGTGTTTGTTCTCAAAATCTGCTTTTTTACCTTTTCATTAGAATATTTATATGTAAGCAGCTATTGTCTTCTGTCTGGATGTGTTAGAATTAGAGTATCAATTCATTATAAGTGTTTGTGTATTAACTTGTAAGTTTGTTAGTAAAAGTCTCACAGCCACACATATTTTTTTTTTCCCTAGTGAAATCCTGATTCCTGAGATGAATTACTCTTAAACATTTCATCTTTCTCCACCTTCAGCCTGAGGCTGTTGCTGATTTAAGCAATATTTTAAATGGTATTTTGACATTTTATGTACTAGATTCTCATCACTTCAACATAAATAAAAATAATGTACAATAGCAATCACATTTTTTGATATGTTAATCCCAATCATAGCTAAATGTGAATTAAGTATTTCTTCAGAATTATTGTATTTAGATTCAACAATGGCACTATATTTGTGGAATAATTAATCTAATATCTACTATATCCAGTACAACGTCAGTATAAAATCAATAACCTTCATCAACTTATTTTATTTTATTTCACTGTACAATAGACATTTTCTCCTATCAGTGATAAGCACCATACTATCTGAGTACATCTCCCTCTACTCCCAACACACACAAGATGCACTTTTGGGAAGTAGTAGTGGAATTAGAATTTGAATCTTACATTCAGGAAACGGTGGTGTTTTTCGTCCTTGCCCTGTTTGTAGAGGACGTTTACCAAAGACTTGGGCATCAAAACTGGCATAATCAAATGGAACTTTTCCAAACTTCTCTTGTTCTTTTGACACGGTGGCTCTGGGAGAGGTGATGGCTTGCGATCGGAAATTGAATTCAATTTGCTTCACCAAACTTGTCCTGGAGAGAGGAGGAAAGTAGTTCAAAAAAAACACAATGAAAGTGCTGGTGAGTGATTAGTGTGGAATTTACAGTAGATAAAAGAGTCACTGCCTGTAGATACCCACAGAGACACCCTGAAATAACACATATGGAGTCACAGCACACAGAGCAGTCACTCTCAATCCAGAGTGAGAGATGGAGGGATGATGCTTTGGGCTCCGCTTGGTTATGATGTGCTGCAGATTCTGTGTCCTATTCTGCCATCAATAAATTAGGAATATGCAATCCAACATTTACCTCAAGAGGTGTGGCTCAAGCATAAAGTGCCTGCCTAGCAAGCCCAAGGCCTTGAGTTCAATCCTTAGTACCATCAGCATTCACCCTTTGCAGAGGCCATGAGGAGCAAGCATTTGATGTTTGTTTGCACTTTGGGTGGCACAGAAAAAAGTGCCATATAACTGTCAATAACTATCAGTTAAGTGTGCACACTCTGCTTATTAGAACGTTAAATAAATCTGTGGAGAGTAGTTGCTGCCCTGTCTGACGCCTACAGGGACAGTGCAACTGCCAGATGACTTTATTCCTGAACTGTGACTTTCTTCTTAGATTTTTCTTCATTTTTCCCACTTTCAGTCTGGATGTTTTTGTTGGTTTAAGAAGTATTTTGAATTAGCATTGCAATATTTTATTTATTAAACTGCAGTCACTTAAATATAAATCAAAATCACTGTTTGCTAATACCTATCGTATTTTTCAGTTTACTTATCCCACTGATAGTTAAATATGACTTAGATGTTCCTCTAGAATTACTGTATTTGGGTTAAACGAGTGCATCACATTTGTGTTGCGCCAGTCTTAGCCAAAGAATACATAATTTTTTTTTGCTGTGGTTTAATGGTAAAAGAACATGAACAAATATATCTTTCAGAACTCAGCAATATAGAAAAGTTTCTTCCTTTTTTAAAACAAAATGTGCTTATTGGAATGCCAAAATTTCAACGATATCTTTTGGACTAGATAAAAGACTCTTAGCTGCTACATAAAAATATTTGAGGACTAGTAGATATAACTTAGTTTGCAGTCCTAAAGTTACATAAATATTCTAATCTAAAACAACATTAAGTTTTTAAAAAATGAGGAAAATAAAATCTACTCTTATTTCTATATTTGATGAATAATTCACTTAGGGAGAAACTAGAGGCTATATAATAACACTAATCAAGAATCCCAATTTAAGACTTATAATAGCTACTTATCCAGTAATTTGTGATCTTCTCTTGACATGTTTTTTTATTCATGTGACTTGCATAACAATTTTGACTCTGTTAATTAAACATATAGAAGCAAAATATTAAGGGGAGCCATAGCCTAGAAATATTGACATGTCTAATAGTTGTTTTTGCATTTCTGAGATTCATAATAACAGTTATCTAATCACCTTTCTTAATCCTGAAATCACCTTCCCTACATATGCAATTTTTGCAGAACAGGCTTTTATCACCACATTAAACATGAACACTCATTCTTTATTACTTAGGCATAAGATCTTCCAAACTGCTGCACACCCTTTAAAGAATCTGGGAGCTGTCCATCATGAAATGTACATGTGAAACTGAGGAATGGACACATAACATCACAAACTCTGAATAGGAATGAGTGGATTGTGATGGCATTTTTCTCCAGGCAGAAAAGGTAAAGTCAATCCACAAAGCAAGGCTCAACTGATTGTAGGATGTGTTACATTAGCAACTCAGAATTTTGATTAATACACATTATTGCATGCTTTTTTCTTTTTCTGCTCACCCACATCCTGTTATCTTTGTAAAGAGATAAGCTTCAAGCAAAACTTCTGGAGGGCCCAGAGCTCTTTAGGCAAGTATCATTCACTAGACCAGCCTTTCCAAAGGACCATCCATACGGGCCTCCCGGTGGCCAAGGATGATAGTCAGAACAAAGTAAAGTGACACACAAGGAACCAGAGGTCCCTGTGGGTAGGATCCTGGCATGCACAGAGCATCAAAAGCTTCCTGGGAGTTCATACCTGTGGGCCTGGTCAGGGCACTGCCCGGTTTGGGAAGAATCAAGCTGATTTTTATCCTGGGACATTGCCAGTTTTTCAGCTGCAGCAATTGGACAACCAGAAAGACTGTTTCAAAAAGAAAAGTGGGAAGATGTGAGTTAAAATGATAATGTGATTTGTGATGGCACATGCCTCATGGCAAACTTGGCACACATTAAATGTTAAGTCATATTAATGGTTCACTTTGCACCATTCTCACACTAAAAGATCCCAAAGGGTTTTGCAGAGTGCAATGTCAACTCTTATCCACCAGCCCCATCTCAAAGGTGAAAGGCAACAAACCCATTTTTAAAGCTCAAAATATAAGTGAGAAATAACTAGTTCTCTGAAGCTCTTACTAGTTCCAAATACAACGAATCCACCTACAGAAGTCAGCACGGAAACTCCATGATTTACCTTAGGACTTTCAGCAAAACTTTAGGGACTGAATTTTATATCTTAGTTTAAATCAAAAGTATGGAATCTGAAGTTTTCTAGCAACATGTTTGTAAGTTATATCCACATTAGCTACTCATAATATAAAATGCACACATAAAAATCATCATTTTCACCCAAATATTGATACATACACCATACACTTGTGTATAAATGCACATCCCCATGCTTTGTTTTAGTTGCAATCTTAATGAAATGATGGCTACTCCCTGCCTGGTTTTGTCAAGCCACTGTGGAGTGAACCCTTTTGATACCTTTTTAATATCTATTGAAGGAACCAAGATAATCTATAGGCAACTCTTCCAATGTCCAACTACAATGGTGAGATTCCAGAGCAGAAGAGAGCACGCTGTATTTGTTTGACTCTATGAACCCAGAACCCCCGACATCTTCAAATACAGGTGTTTTGTTATTTGATTGCTGCTATAAAAATTTCTAGAAATGGTTTTTCTAGATGTGATTTTCCTTTCATTTTGACTCTTGCACAGGTTGAGAACATTTATCCATTTCCGGTGACAGTGATATTTGATAGTGATGCAATGATTTTCCATAACACGTAGCTCATTATTTGATTGGTGGAAAGTATCTCTCACATTTTCTAATGTAAAATAGTTAGCAAATCATCAGCTTTACCTTCTGTGCGTGTTGCGGTTGCTGTTCACATGTCCCCTTCCTGTGCATCCCGGGGTGGGACACTTGAGCACATTTTCATGCATGGCAAGAACTAAGCACAAAACACCACATGAAAGGGAAGAACAATTTACCATGAATTTCTAACGGACCAACAAATTTACTTCACAATTTTGCATTCAAATGACTTTAGCTTCCTAATCTGCCACACTCCCTCCCCGGATATATTTAAATCGAAAAAGAAATAGCACTAGAGAAGTTCAGAAATTAAATCCAGCAAGTTTGTTCACATTTTAACCCTAGATTTAGCAAGATAGTTCTGCTTATATTCAATTTAGGAGTCTTTTTTTTTTTTTTTGGTGCTACAGATCAAATCTGGAACTTTGCAAATATTAGGAAAGTGCTCTACCACTGAGCTACAGCCCTAGCCTTCTTATTTCACTTCAGCTGAAAAACTCATGGCCTTTCCTTCACATCCAGGTCCTTTTCCTTGGGGAGTGGGTGGAGACCATTATTTGTCACAGAGCTCTTCCTGTCTTTTCCCTGCATTTGAATTTCAGCATGTAGTCTTTATTCCCAAAGAGATTTATTTGGGTTCTGTGTCCCTCCACCTTCTGTTGCCAGGTGGCCATTGTCAGGAGTGTCAGAGACCCAGTCTGAGGAACTATTGACTTGGCACCTGGGAGTCTCCAGATTTTCCCAATCTCGACATGGAGAAGGGTGATGTGGAAGTGTTCCTGTTTCTGCCAGTTTGAATGGTCTGAGAGGCGTCTCAGTAACTGGACTCCAAAGTCTAGTTACTAGTGCCCTCCTATGGTGGACAGAGGCTACAAATGACCATTGGCTTACAGAAGCCATGACTCAGGCTAAGGAAGGAAGGTGCAGTCACACCATGTAATAACCATGTCTTATTGTCTATATACTGAAGCTTTGACACTTGAGTCCTTCCTGACCCTGGGGGGACTGTCCCTCCCAGAGTTAGCCAATTCCTGGAGACAGCACACAATTTGCCCACTAAGCATACTCTTAAAGTGTGAACCAACCACTCTGGAGCCCACACCACAACTGCTTCCTGATTTGGGAACACTCTGGGCTACTGTCCCTTACCCCAATTACCCTATCCAGGGATCAGAGACTCCCATAAGTCCCAGAGCCCACTGAACCAACCCACCCCAGCCTGCTTACCCTGCGTCGCCTGCTCCTTCACACAGAAACTATGCTAAGGAGTTTTGTCCACCATTCCCTAATCCTGCCCTTAATCCTGACCAACCCTGAAGATTCCCCCATGTGACACTTGTGGTGCGATGACACCCCCCCTCGTAGGAACTATGGAGAACAAGCTATCTTTTCAGTAGCAGTTGTCTTTTGATCTGTCTGTCCCTCAAATTTTCAATGAATATACTGTAGTTTAAAACACAGAAAACTTGTTGGAAATTGCTTGACACACAGAAGAGAAAGAGGATAGCATTATGTTATGTTGTTTGCATAAGAAAGCACCTTTGTCTTTAGAGATAAGCAGTACTCACTTTCCAGGGGCACTCGCACCTTATGGGGGCACCCTGAAAGGCTGCGGTGGTGGGGGTAGAGCCCTGTCACGTGCCCTGTGCCATCACACCCAGGGATGGGGCACTTGGTCTCTCTCTTTTCAGGCCTCGGTGAATCTACAGAGAAATTAAATCGAGACATTCATTTGCTTATTCCTTGTTCCCTTCCATTCAATAGAGTGGCCTTGCAGGCTGACATTGTCACTTTATCTAGTTTTACCATCATAAACATTCCTCTCATATTGCCTTGAATAAGACCCTCAACTAAGACCTGTAGAAACATAAAACATGTTTTCAATTTTCTTGGTTTGCTAAGCAAAGGCTGACACAGGGCAAGGGACTTTTAAAATGGAGATGGTTTTAAGTTGTCATGTCACATATTGTAGTTAAAGCCTCATTATGAAAAGTCACCCAGTGCTAGAGGTGAACAGGCTCCCCAAAAAGATAAAGAAAAAGTGAGAAACAAGAAAGAATTTATTTAAACTCAAACCATTTCTTATTGAAAGAGTCAAGAAAAAGCCAGATTCAAAATTACTAAACAAAAAACTTACCATATCTAGGAAGGGCCTCTTTGGCCTTGTCCCTGTGGGTCCCTGGCAGCAGGTGGCCCTAGGGTTGGGGGTCAGTGCTCAGGGAGCAGCAGAGCTTGCTTCCTGCAGAGCAGCTGACTGGAGTCAAGACAGGACTGTTCCTGTCTAACCAAGGCCTGCAAAGTTCCAAGATTTGGAAGCCCCAGTGGGCTGTCACTTAGGATCAACTGCAATGACCGCAGGGAGGAGGCCATTGACATGACTGACTGCAGAGACTGAAAACAGGCAATGGGAAGAATCTTTGGAAAGGAAAGGTCCTTGTGGGGACCTTCCACAAAAGGGAAGTAGCGCGGAGACCACCTTTCCAGTCATCTGGTGAGCTGAGGACCTGGTGGAGTGGGGCCCACAGGTGCAGTAAGGCTGTTCTGGGACCAAAGCCTGGAGTGGGGAGGGCTGAAGACAAGCTCAAGAATTTCCTTCTGCTGGCACTAACAGAGTTGAGGGTTGGATAAATACATAACATAAGTGAATGTAAAACAGGAATATTAACGAGGTTAGAGCTAATGCAGATGCAGCCTTGGTTACAAATGTGCGTATTCCTGATTTAGAGGTAGAGAAACCTCAAACAGAAATGTGGTCTTATGGCCCACACTGCTCCCTGACTCATGCTCAGATGACACCAGCGGAAGGGCATTCTGCCTCCTGGTGTTTAGGGAAGTGAGTGGTACAACATAGGAGCAGGTGAGCTCTCTGAAAAGGGAGCAAGGTGGTTTTAATAAAGCTGGGAAGCAGCAGGAATAATGAGCTCTCCAGAGGCCAAGAGCAGACATAAATAATCATAAATAATCGACACACGATCCTGACCACAAAGCTGCCTACAGTGATGGAACAGAGGAAAGGGTCAGGACCAGACCCTTTCCTCCAAGATAGCACCTAGGGCAGGAGGCCCAAGCCATGTGGCAGGATGCGACAGGCATCACTGGGGCAGTACACTGCAAGAGCAGACTTGCCTCTGTGCTTATGTGTCACCCCAGTTGTTGGAGTACCAAAGGTCCAGGGCAGATGGGGCATAGCAGTTTGTGTGTAATGTAATTATATGGGAGCACAGTTTCAGGGAAAAGGGGAAGAGCCAGGCTCCTCCTAGTTGCACCCTGCACCAGCAGTCCAGGAGGGGCCAGGAAGCAGAAATCAGACAGTTACAAGTGAGCAGTGAACAGCCAGAGATAGGGATGCATCCAGTAGCAGGCATTCATGTTAACTAAGACAGAATTTAAATAAGATGATTGATGTTGAGACTATGCTCGCTGTACTTTGTAAGAGACAAAAAGGCATATTAAGAGTTTGTGATGTTCTATGAATTTGTGCATGTCTGTTTTATTTGATCAAACACAGTGCCAAGTTTCAAGCTATTTTAGGCATGCAAAATCTGAGCAGCACTGGTCAAGATCCTTGAAGTTTGACTGAAATGAGCTGAGAAGAGGTGACACTTTAACAGAGTGCTGCTCACAGGGAGAAGAGTGACAATGTGTATTTTGATGCCCTTCCTCTCCTGGATTGTGTCCAGGTGAGACCACATTTCTAAACCTTATTGAAAGGTTTGGCACAGAGCGCTTCCCCTCCTTGCCACTCTGTTTGTCTGCGGGAAGCCAGAGAGGGTGTTGGAGATAACGCTGGCTGGCACCTGCCCAGGTGAGCCCACTCACAGTCCACCATACACCTTTGTCTGCAAGGCTCTCCTGGGCTGGGCAAAACAAAGATGCCAATGAAGGGCTCTGGAGGGCAGAAACTGTGGGCATGATAAGAAACCAGAGCCCCGGCTCAGGGCAGCTCTCAAGCCTGGCTCTTCTTTTCTTTTCTTTGTTCAGTGTTGCACAATGAGGGTGACCTTATACTCTGGTGATGTTACATCCTAGCTTGCCTGGGACTGTCTTCTTTCACACCTGATAGACTCACCCTGCTGTTTGCATTGCTCCTTTTACATGACAAGTGTCCTGTGCTGGGCAACAAGCTAGATGGTACCTCTACTTCTCCTGCCACCTGAAGTCTCTGTATGCTCAGTAGCAGTCATACAGCCCAAGCATTGAAGCATTGCTAACTCACCTGCAGGCTTGGGTACAACCACAGACATTTTAAATCCTGATGGTCTCTCTCTAATAGCAGAGCTGCATGCCCAGGGTGTCAGCAAAGTTAGGACAAGGTTTGGAGAAGATGAAAAAAAATGAACATTCACTTAAGAACAGCATGTCAGAGAAGAAAGCTCCCTCTCACACCACTGGTCCCCATGCCAGGTACAAGGAATGAAAAAATAAATACTAAGTCCTCATCTCAGCTTCTGGTTCCCTGAAATAGGGGGTTTGCCTTCTTTGTCTGCTTTACTTGGGCCTGGTCCTGGTCTCCTCACGATGACCTGTGCCACAGGCTGTCCTACTGACACTTCCAGCCTCCCTGGAGTTCTCTAAGCTTCCAAGGGACCAGCATTTATAACACACATTCTATTGTCTTGCTGAGTTTGAAAACAAAAAGGTTTAAAAGTCTTGTGAAAAATAACCAGAGGATCATCAAGTGTTTTAAGCGTTGGTTCAAATAAAATGCCTACAAATACTGGATTCTCTTGGTTGTAAGACAATATCAATTGTAAGATGAACCATTTCACGTGTGATTAAGAAAGAAAAAATGTTATTGATGTCAGGGATATTAAAAAGGGAAAACTATGTTTTAGCACCAGTGAAATACAGTATATTAAAAATAGTCAAGTTGAGGAATTTGTACTATGTTTCATTTTTTTTCAGACATTGTAGTTCATTAAAAATAGGTAAATTCAACAAATTGCATATCAATGGGAGCACACACAGCCAAAGACAGCATCCTGTCCCCAAACCTGCACTAATCATTAACATTTGTCCTTACTCAACACTCACAGGATGTTTGCGTAGTGGTATTAGCAAATGCCTCACTACGTGACATCAGCTTAGCCTGTTCTTTTTCCTCAGGTCTGAGCTACAAGACATTATTTGTCAAGATTGCAGAGAAGTGCTAAAATGGCTCTACAATGACAACAGACAATTCATTTCCACATAAATCTTGATTAGAACTTCTAAATCATACTACTCTGTTAATACTTTTTTTTCTAACATTTTATTCTTGTAAGCCCTTTGGATCTACAACCTGGATTTTCTCTAAGATATTCTCCCTCAAACTCTGTGACTTTCAGGCTCCAAGGTGCACAAGAATCACCTGGGCAACAAGCAAAACGAAAGGAAAGGCAAACTCTGGAGCTCTGAGTCTGATTGGATCCTGGAAACGCCCACCTTAAATGGGCCTGCCAGGTACTTGCGGACTCCTGGGAACCTCGGGAGTCATTAGCAGCCCATCAGGTGCAAGACTGGTGGGAGAATGGGCAGAACACTCCATGGGGGCAAGGGACCCGTTTTTCTCCACGTGTGAGGACCAATATTAAGGTCAGTATTAAGTCTTCACTCTGTCAATTCATGCTTGACCCAGGTATTTGTGGGTCCTTAGTTGGAGAGCTGGTAAAAGTATAGGCGTATAAATATGTTAATACCCAGTTTTATCCCCAAAAGATCACAGCATCCTGTCTGACTTCAGCTTGTTAAAAGCAGCAGATGACCCTAGAACAAGGGTGGGAATGAAAGCTTAAGTTCCTAGAATTGATTGGGGTAATAAAATGATGTGAAACCCAACAAGTATTATTGTACTTTTAATAATGTCCACTAATGTACTTTTTAAAGAAATAGAAGTAATGAAAAATTTTCTTATGTGTACATATACTGCAAAACTGATTGAGACTGATCTGATATGAATCTAGAAAATAAGAAATTACTTATTCTTACTTATGAATTGAATTTTAAATTGCATTAAGTTGTAAAAAGCTATCTAGAAGGAACAATCAAACTTGACTTTTTTTTCTAAGTCCTAAAGCAATTTTGTTCCTAAAATGAATACAAAACTCTGTCTTACGTTTGTTGTTAAAGATCTGTCTTCCCCCCATGTCGATAACTTTGGTTTGCCTCCTTTCCCCTGCCAAGTGGTCCAGGAGAAACCTGTCCAGCTCTTTGTAGGTGTTATGGAGAACGCAGCCTCGCTCGGCCTGCAGAGCTATCGCTTGCTCCAGCAAACTTAGGTTTCCCCTGGCTTTCTCCAGATCACCAGGCTCTTCGGTGGTGGTGGCCAGGCTCTCACTATCTTCTTCCTCAATCTCGGGGAAGGATGGCTGCGTTTTGCTGTCCGTGGGCCCCACATGGGCATTCTGTGGGTCTCTCCGATCTGTGTCAGAATCGCACCTGTTCTCACAAGGGACAAATTTGTCATCTTCAGTTTTTATTTCAGGGACTTCCAAGAGGTCATTTTTACTATCCACTAACATGTATTTTGGGGCTCTGTGAGGTTTAGCATCTTCTGACAAGCTGGAGCCACTGTCCCATCCATTCTCTGCACTTTCAGAGTTACTTTCACTGTCATCAGAGGAACAGAACGGTGGCTGGGAACTGTCCAGTTTGTCTCTTCCATCATCTGAACGAATCATCAAGCATTCGTTGACTTCATCACTCTCTGCTTTTAAAGACTGGATACCACTGTCAGTCAAGTGTTCACTTACGGTCTGAACAGACGCAGTTTTTTCAAATTTCCCCAAGTGCATTAAAGATTTGACCACAAGCTCTTGATAGCAAGTATATCGGTCTTCCTTCCGCTGGGAGTTTTCTTGGGCATTTGAGTGAAGGTAACCATCCGCTGGCTTTATCATGATTCCTTCTATGGAAAAAGAAAATCAATACTTGAAAAAATGAGAATAAAAAATATTTTAAGGTGGGCAGATATGGTGGTGCCCATAATCTCAGCACTCAGGAGGAGGAGGCTGCAAAACAAGTTCCAGGCCTGCCTGGAGGCAGTGAAAGCCTGCCTCAAACCAGAGCAACAACCCCCAAAACCAAAAAACAAAAAAAATCTTTTAGAGAAATCAGACTATTATAAATATATATGTACATGCACACACATACGCACATATACATATATAATACAGGTAATGTATGATGTCTATTAATTTTATAAACATTGATGGCAAAACTATATCTCTTAAAATAAGACAAACTTAGAGCTTAGTATTGTCACAACTATCTTTTAAGAAATGAGGTATTAGGTCGGGCATGGTGGATCAGACCTTATAATTCCAGCTTCAGGAAGCAGAGATCAGGAGGATCCCAGTCCAGGCAAATTTAGCACAAGACCCTATCTGAAAACCAAATAAAAAAAGTGAGAGGACCAGGGGTGTGGCTCAAGAGGGAGAGCACCTGCCTAGCAAGTGTAAGCTCCTGAGTTCAAATCTTAGTACCGGCAAAAGAAGGGAGCTAGTATAATTTTCAGCACATTAAGAGCTGCATACGTCTAAGGGTACCATCTAAGATAAGAAATTGTTACTTTAGCAATAATAGAGCACTGAGTGTAAAATTATTGCTATTGTAATTCCTGTATTTCTACACCTTAGCCAACCAGAAAGAAGTTGAATATACATTATAGTACACATTGAAAGTATTCATCAGATTTCTCTGTTAGGATGGCAAGGTACTTTCTAGGCTTATTTGATGCATCTTTTTGACTATGGGGTCTCAGACATATTCCCAGATTTTATGTAATGCTAAGATACAAAATACATCTTTGTAGAGATGATAATTAAAGGTATTCAAGAATCCCAGGTTACTTTTGTAATTGTCACACTACAACTTCATATTGAGGGGAACACAAATGAGATAGTTAGCATGATCAGATAGTAGCTTAAATAGTAACACACTTTCTGGTCTGATGTTTGCATGAATTTGTATAAGAAGGAAAGAAGGGCTGTGTGTGCTGGGGGATCATTGGAGGATGTTGAAGTGAACTAGTTGTGTTCAGCGCTCTTTTGGGGTCCTCAACATCAAAGTAACCTGTGACTGAGAACAGAACTCAAGTGTCAGTCTGTCCAGAACAGTCTGAAGGACAGCTGCCATCTCAGTATAGCTATCATTGTCACCCTTTCACTCAGTTGGGGTGACAGGTTGTACATATTATGTACGGTCAGTCTACTGAAGGCTTTCCCAGTTACAAACACACCAACTGAGAGTTTGGAATCTCTGGTGACACCAGCCTTGGCCCAAGCATGTGAGGTGGTACCCAGAACACACCAGGCTGTGAAAGGTACCAAACAACTCAGAGATGTCCTCTGACATCCACTAGGACAAAAACAAAACAAAACAAAATAAAAAGAAGGCCCATTTCTGTGTTTCAAAGGCAGGTTGGAGGATGGAAATCACAAAGCAATAAGCTCCCTTAAAGATCTTAAAGATCGCTAAAGACTCCAAATGAAGTGCAGTCTGTGTTAATAAGCGTCTTTGGAGGGAAGAAAGACTGCGAGAGAGGGTGTCTGCACTAAAGACAATGTGCCTTTTTTTGTCTCGTTTAATTTTTTATAAACATTGTCTCTGACAAGGACACTCAAAAATACATCTCCATCATCTTCTTTTCTGGTAATTATCTCCCCAAATCAACACTGGACTGCCAGGATCAAGTAAATATTGCCATAGTAACTAAAAGCATTTTTGGATGCAGGGAAGAATTCAGTCACAACACTAGCCTCTGTAAATATTGCTGATTATAGGGTGCAGTCTTTTGTTGGGATCTATTCAATGTAAACTGAAAAATTTAACATTTCAGTTGCTAGAAAAGAGCCTGGATAAACAAGCACATAATATTTGATAGGATGGGCCTATCCTCTCCTGAATTCATATCAGAGGAACTCCAGGTTTAAATAATATATTAAACATAGTCTAAAATGCAAATGAAGTTTTTCTCAATATCACGGCTGGCTATTAAGAGAGAGTGTAAAGGGTTATGATAATTTTAAAGTATTACGAACTACAGAAAACAAATAAAAAGCATTTTCAGTGAATATGCTCAATTCATTGAACTATTCTCTCACTCCACTTAACTACCCACATGTGTACAATAATGATTTATAGACATTATACCTAATTATGCATATTTGGGCTGTGTTAGAGTGCTAACAAAAGCTCTAGAAGGCAACAATTACCTCTGTTGCTTAGCTACATAGTTTAAAATATTCCTATTAAGTGCAGATCACCAGAGAGGCGGGAGTGACAAACTCGCACATGTGTGCGACAATGCACTTCACTGTGAGGCTGCCAACTGCTTGAATTTTGGGTCATTTCCAGTTTACATAATTGTTTGGTTCAACTGTTTGTTATATGCTAAAAGAAAATATTTATTAATTATTCTTCAGAAAAAGAGGAGCCCTGCAGACAGAGGTGCCTATGTGCGTCGCATGAGCTCGTTTCTAGGGATGTTCTGCAAACTGCAAACCAACTTTCCACATTCCCAATCCCCTCCCGAGCCCAGTGTGGGCAAAAGGAAAAAACCTCTAGCTTTTGAACCTGACAGATCTGTGACAAGCCACTGGGTTCTCCCAGCTCTGCAACCAGCTGCCCGCTTTCTTTATGCTGGAGTGTTTTTATTTTTCCTGCTGCCATGGGGGATATGTTCTGTGCCTTTGCCCCTGGAATAGCTAAACCCGGCAGAGCCAGAGGAGTCTAGACTTGGGGTCTGATGCTGGAGCTGCTCTCTGTGCTCACCTGACAGGGTGCTCAGCCCACTGAGCCTGTGGGTAACTGTACTGCCCTGTGTGCACATGGCAGAGGTCACAGGAATGCCCAACAGGTGTTTGGTAAAGGATGCCTTCCCAGATACTGTTGTCAAAGACAGTAATGGCAGGGGATCTTTAACATGAACGAGGTCATCCTGTCTTTCAATTACAGTAATGATAAGACTGACCCTCAAGGAAAGGCAGGGTGGTGGTTGATAACAAGGCTCTGCCAGCTCACTCTGCACACCTGTGCACGCTCTGGCACTGACCAGTAGCTGCCTTTGAGAATGGGGAACCAGTGCACAATGCACAGATCTCGGGTGTGAGGTCCAGAGACCAAGGTCGTGCTGCTGATCCAGCGCTGCCTGCCTGTATCACTTTGGTCAGGCTCCTGGGCTCTCATCTTCAAAATGAGGATGATCCAATGACCTATTGGGTGATCTGATGGCCCTTCCTGGGACAATAAACTCATGTTTCCTGGCATGGTGCTCCACTCTTTATTTCACAATACACAAAAAGATCCGTGCTGGTCCACTTTACAGAAGGGAAACTGCACTTCTAGGGAGCTAAGGCCTTGTTCAAGACATACAGCTATCCAATGGAGGACTGAGCCCCAGCTCCAGGGCCACACAGCAACAATTCTATGTCCCCGTCACATGCTACTCACATCCTCTGGCCTGAAGACTGAGACAGATTTCCCTGAATCCTGAGCGAATTGTCATGCTGCTGGGGACTCTGCCTGCTGGCTTGGCTAATCCCACTTCAGATGTACGCCCATGTCCCTGTCTGCACAGGAAAGCCCCAACTGACCTACCCTGGGAAGCGTTTTGCCAGCTCATCTTCCCAATGAAGATGGTGTCCACATTCTCTTCTCCCTGCTTGGTGCCCACCTGCGTCTCTTTGGAAGAGAGCCGGGGGAGGGTGTGGGGTGCAGTGTGTGTCATAACGTGGAATCAAAGTCATGCAGGGTTCAGGTGATGACCTGAGCTCTCATGAGCACTCTACACTTTCATCATCCCACTCAAAGTCACAATCGGGCACACGTCCAGCCAGGGAAGACCTGAGGGCACCTAGAGTAAGTGAGTAACTTGTTGAAAAGCACTTTTGCTGTATGGGCACTAGCATAGCTCTCTTTCCTTCTGGGGCCAGGGGTAAAATTCCTCAGAGGACCGAAGGCAACTTGGAATCTTTGCTCTGTTGACCATCTGAGATAGGAACATGTGGTGACCTGTCATTTCTGGAAATTGTGACTTCATGACTCGACCTTGTCTGTACTGTGAAGGTAGCCAGAGGGCAGAGAGACTTAGATCATGGCACACAGTTAGGCAGGAAATAATTGCTTTGCTTATTCTTCCAATTGTTTCCTAGTTGTCTTCCTTCCAACACCTATAAGCTGTGTTACATTTAGCATTAAATCTCCTTGGTCCTCAAATCACCTGTAACCTGAGACCAGTCATGTACACTGTGGCATTGCAGCATGGACTAAATGCTATAATTTCCATGTCTGGAATGTAGGAAGAATTAAAAATAACGATACTATTGATTCATGATCATCAGTAGCAGTCTAGTATTTAAGCAAAATAGTTAACTTCAGCAAATAGATGTCCACTAGCATTTATGACTGAATGTTTGACTGAGTACACTTGAACAATATATTCACTTGGCTAATACTAGGATCTATGATGATCAAAGAGCTACAATAGAAGGTGGGAAGTTTGCAAGCTAGATGCGGTGTTTTGCCTAATGGACCTCATAAAAAATGTGGAGACACAAATACATGTCTATTTTCTTAAATATTTGGCTAGATGAATTATATCCCAACTCTATCCACATGATGCAAGGACTTTTTTAAAGAATAGATGGAACCTACGGTTTCCATGACCAATAATTAAAACTGACCAATTCAAACAAATTTTAAAAAGTCAAAGATGATTATAATTTACAGATAAGACAGGAGACATTAAGCCATATGCTAATACAGAAAAGCTACAAAATTTACTTAACTATGTACAAATCCAAATACACCTTTTTTAAATGCTTTTTTTAAGTGGTTAGAATCTCTAACCACTTCTAAGCCAAGATTATTTGAGATAGGATTGAGTCTGATTGAGATTTGTGCACACTCGGTCAATATGCTTTTACATCTTCTCAGTTATTTACCTGGGTTATTCCTATGATTCTACTTATAATGTTTTTGTCTTTTGTTTGTGTAATAACTTCTTTTCAGATATTGAATTGTTTAGTGTATACTTGGATTCCTTAAAAAGTCACATGCAGAAAAAAGTGTGTATTTAACAGAACATGTGTACACCTAATTTTATTTTCTGGTAAGTCAAGCCTTAGATCTCAGTTATTTTTTTTCATAATGGTTTTGAGATTTTTTTTCATGATCCCGAGCTTCAGCCTCATGTATAAAGCAACCAGCGATATTCCAACTTCTAGAGGTAAGTAAGTAGCAGGGATAATTGGCAGTAACTGTGAACTGGGGAGGAACAAATCCTAAAGTTTCAAAAACAGTAATCTCAATTCCTTGGTGTATGAAGGGTGTCTGATGAGCAAGTGAAGAAATGAATTAATGAATTATGATGTGTATCTAAAGGTAAACGTAAATACTTTATTCTAGAAATAATGGACCAGTGAAACACATTCTATATCATTTTCCTACTGAAGGAGCTTCTATGATTATAACTTTTGATTGCTTCTATATTCCATTGCTTTAAAAATATGAAAAATATTAAGGTCACGATCACCTGCATTAGTCCATGTTATTATTACTGATTTATATACTGGGGTTAAATAACATTATATATGTCTATAGCTAAAGGAAATATAAATGTTTTAGCTGTATATATAGATACAGACACATATATACACATATGTGTTATATACATATAGACCATAACTGTTAACGAACACTACTCAGAACTCAATCATTGTAAAGGTATCATAAAACTTAAATACGCCTGTAATTTGAAAGGTTCTTTCAGAAATTAGACATCCATCTGATCTGTACTTCAGCTTTAAAGCTTAGTATCTTTTACTATCTTCAAAAAGAGGCACAGCCTAATCCTGTGCTTTAAAAAACATACTCAAGTTAAAAATGAACTCAGGACAAGAATGCCTTGTCAATCTATGGAACCTGCACAGGTACTGATAAAAAAAATGGGTCCTCAATAAATGAACATTGAGTAGAATAAAAGTTCTGTTTTGCTTCCAAATTACAAACATACTTTTACAACCATACCAACCATAGGCTCTCCATAAGTTAAGACTGAGTCTGTGGTGCCGGGATACATAGAGCTTGGACCACTCCTCCTCCTTGCTACCTGCAGTAGAGCAGTTGCTTGTATCCAAGAGGCTGTTGTCCTCCATCCTGTCATCACAATCTCTTTTGCAGTCCACGTCTGGGCTGTAGTGCCGAGGTTTCATTAGCAGGGATTTCCTTTTGTTGACTGGGACACCCAAAGCCTGCTCTTCTGCTCTTCTCTTCTTCGCCATGGAGCAATCGTAGGCAACACTGCATAAGCAGGGCAGATTGAGGACATGGTAAAACAGCATTCACTGCTATTTGGCATTTGACTTTCACGAAACATAACTCAAAGCCTTTGGAAACTTGGGACTAGAGGTTTAGGGTTAGTCATTGGTATTAACAAAAACAGTCCATCCACAGACTCCATCAAAGTGTGCAGATTCTATTTTACTATCTATCACAAGAGTTTTTGAAAAATCATCCTTAATCCCGAGTAAGCATATGTTAATCTGTGCTTTGCTTGGTGCTACACTAAATACCCGGGGAGGATGAAATGAGCTTTGCACTGGCTTGTTAATCCTAAGAAACAGCTAATGTGAAAAATATACCACCAGATACACATACATTTCCAGGATGGGCAAATCACAAGGTTTCTCAAATAGTTGTTTGCCACTGAAACTGCTTATCTCTGTCACAATTGTGCCTCCAACTTGAGATGTGGCATATCTCGGGCTTTAACTTAAATGAAAGGCCACTGAACGAGGGGCAAGCTATGAACATTCAATCAACCCATCTCCAGGCACAGACACAGAAAAAAAGTGAAAAGATGCTCGCTATGTGGCATTCTGCCTTTGGATTCTTACCCAATTGGCACACAGAACAAACAAATAAAAGGAGAAGAAATAAGATAAGATTTCACAAAAAAAATGGACAGCAGTTTATCCTTATTCCCGTTCTCACATGGTTTTACTTGGAAATGCTCCTAGGAGGTCCTTTCAACACAGATTTCCTACATGTACCTCACTCAGAATTAATGCAGCTCACTCTACGTGTGAAGTTAGCACAAACATTCTCCTGGAAAGATCCATGAAGACCAGAGAATTTCGCCAACAGAGAGCCTATGAGAGGTATTTATTAAACGCTCTGTAGAAAAGTGAGGGAGATTTAGATGAAAAAGTCCTGAGGAGAGAATCCTGGACTCACAGTTACTAACTCCATCTCTAAAAGATGATTGAATTCTCAGTAATATTATTGATCAGACAAGTGCCTTAAACTGTTCTTGAACAGACATCAATGCAAAGATGGTGGTCTAGTCATAAAAACAATTTGATTATAGTCATACATAAATTCTTGAATATAGAATAGTATATGCAAAAACTTCCAAGGGAATGAAAACTGTCATTTCTTCTTGGGGGAAAAATGATTCTGGCAAGAAAGATAATTCAGGAGGTAGCTATCTCTCAAAAGAGATGAAAAATTACAGAATTAAAAATTGTGCTGATGGGAAAGTTTCACTGAGTGAGGTTTGTAAATAATGTTCTATGATGAGCCCAAATTGAAAGTGACTGTCTGCAGAAGGTAGAGTAAAAGAGAGCACAACCAGATGACAATGAGAGACTACAGAAGGTGGATCCCTGTGTGGACTGAGTCTGTTGGCTTGTGAGGGAAAGTCCAGGCCCTCAGTTCTGATGTGATGGGAGGGGCACAGGCAAGCAGAATTATGCCCACACTTGCCCTCCCAGATAAAAGAGACTCATTGTTGAGTGGGAAAGGGATGGAAGAGCATATCAACACTGTGGAGATAACATGAGGTAAGATATCATACCGTAGGGATAAAGTTCACAGGCATGTAAAGAAAGTTTAAGGAGTTCTCTAAACTTCAAAATCAAATAAATTTCCACCAAAATACACAAGTAAGGCCACTAAGCCATTATCAGGATTGTAGAAAATAGGAGAGGCTCATATGTTGTTCAGATTTTAAAAGCAGGACATCAAGTAGGTTTTAGGAAGTGTAGTGATGTAAGCCTGAAATTCATAGCATCGAAGAGTGAAATAGTGATTGCTAGGGCTGGAGAGGGGGAAATAGGAAGTTACTTATCAACAGGCATAAAATTTCAGTGAAAGAAGATGAACACACACTTAAAATGTGCTAAGAGGATAGATCTCATACCAAATGTCCTCACTACAATAAAACTTAAGAAAAAAGTGAAGAAGGAGGATGAGAAGGAGAAGGTGGCAGGAGAAGAGAGAGAGGAGAGTTTTTGGCAGGGCTTCCTGGATGCTTTTCCATTCATGAGACCAGGGGTAGTGGGGATGGCTAAGAAGGACTAGTTCATCAGAAAATGTTATTTCTTTCTTTGATGACTGGGGCATACATACTACCTGATCCTTACAAACTTTATCTTGTTAATATTATCATCCAAGAATACTTATAAAGACAAATAACATTCCCCAAACAGGATAACTAGTAAACGGTGGAGCTGATATCTGAGTCTAAGTCTACTGAATTCCAAAACTCATGCTCTCTCCTCTGTGCTGCCAGACCAGAATGACACATTTGGATAAATTCTGTATGCTTTTGACAATTTGTTGACATAGAAACTGGATAAAACAGTACCTGGCTAGTTGGAAGGAGGGTGTCTGCCCCAGGGCTTTGCCCACGATTTGGGTGCAGAGGTACATAATAGTTATTCT